AGAGCTGGCTGTTCATGCTATAATATAACAGTTCAAAAATAGATAATAAAAAATGAATATTGAAAATTTCACTTCAATTACTTTATTCTGAGCGAAGTTATTAGGTAGCGAATATTGTTTATTATTGTTGTAATGGTACTGGACAAACGAGACTAAATAATAGTCTTGAAGTCAAAATAAAGACCTGAAATAGGCAGATTTTAGTTTATACATAATGTATCTTTAACTATGTAGCTATTACTGGACTACATGTACATGTGCAAACAGTTTGTTGTGTTTTGAAAAAGCATCTTCAAATTAATATCACGTTGCACGGAGCCAAGACTTCTAAGAGCCCTTTCATAACAGAATCAACTGGGCCTTTTTTAAAGTGATGTCATAGATTCAATCTGTGCTTGGTTTGGCTCGGTACCATGTACGTAGTTGTAAGCAAATCTGTAGGTGGCCTATATACAAGTAAACGATACTAGTGCTGATAAAACCATTCATCTTCTCATGATTTGTGTATTGAATCAATTTTTTTACGATTCTTTTTTTTTTTGTCACTTCAGTAACTAACCTGTCACTCTTAATTAAACACCCTTAAATTGTTTAGGTAAAACATGTACCCAAATCAGATGCTCTAATTTTAATATAAATGCCAATAACTTTGCTGTAGAGAATGTTTAGAATTCAGATTCTATAATATAATATCCATAATAAATTGAATATCAAAACATGACATCACAAATATACATGGCACTATTCTATTATCAATCATGTGTAGGTGGGAGATGGTCCTTCAGCAAATATTCTGACATTGTTTGTAAGACGTTGTTCCCCTAAACAGCATCTGGTATCATTTTTTGTTCTTTTAAGCAATGAGAAAAACCTTTCAAGTTTTGTATTTGAAATATGAAATGTATAACAGTTCAATAATTGTTAAAATATTCTTCCATTTTGATTGCAAATGAACTGATTTCAAGAGGTATTTCCATGTCTTATATTAATCATATATAGCAGGATGAAGACATCTAACTGAATACTCAATCATATCATGCCATTCATCTAATATCTCAGAAAAAGAGCAAGAAAGGTTCAATACTTTTTCAACATATTTATAAAGAAATTGTAAATCATCATCAGCAAAACTAATATCATCAGAAGAGATATCCAATTCAACCCCCCATGTAAAATTATTTAAGATGTTTGTTGCCTTAGTCTTTATCACTTCAGCTAAATTGCCACCCTGTTCATATCTTTTTTTTACAGCACTGAGGAGATTCTCAATTATTTTGTTGTTATTAATCTTTATATGAGCTACATGACTTAGCAAAATGCAATGCTGACGAAGAAGACGATAGTTTTGTGACTGCACTAAAAAAATGTCATACTCTACCCTTGAAAAACTGAACACCATTATAGTCTACAGAACCATTTTCATCATTTCTAGTAAACATCACAGCAGAAAGAAATTTTTTAACTGCAGGCAGTTTTTCAAAATCACAATCTGTTAAATTCTGTAGCCCATTTAAGGCCGACAGAAAAGCTTACAGGATCAACAATTTCAGCATGAAAAAATTTTAGACAGATGTGAAATGGGGTTTAATGTCCACTCGACACAAAGCAGGTCATTTCGGGACTAACATATGGTTCAATTTTATTTCCATAATTCGCTTGCGCGTATGGGTCATTTGCAGTGGGAGAAAACCAGAGGGCCTGGAGAAAACCCACGAGGTTGGACAGGCCACCCTACTCCTTGTCACGTACAACTGGGGAATCGAAACCACGCTAGTTGACTCAATGACAGACTTTATGATACAGCGCGCACATGCTAACCATTCAGCCATCCAACCCTCCTTGAAAAAATTTAGACAGATGTGAAGCAGGGGTAAGAATGTCGTCAAATGGAGGCATCTGTAGTAGGGCCATTAACATCATTGCAAATAAATGACATATACCGGTACAGCGTTTTGGGGTCTGGATTTTTTAAATCTAATAATTAGCAATCAACTCAATTTGATGCGTAATGTTTTTGTGAATGGCAATTAAAAATTTTAACTTAATTTTTTTACAAAAACTCTGTTGGACAATCATTTCCGACCGAAAGGCAATTCGGTCGTCAAGAGGGGTCAATTCCACTGGACATTGTCTGTGTCCGACCACTTATTTCAGGGCATGGTGGTGTCGTTAAAGCAATTGTAGAATTTGGTCACCTAAATATGTCTTGGGAGATACATGTCTAATTGGTACATGTGTAACTACTTCATAATGCTTTAAAACTAGTGTCAAACAAATGATAATAAGCATGTGAAATACGTTATAAAATTGGCTGTGAATTGACTTTAACTTCATTGAGTAACTGTAGACTATGCCAGAGCTTGGTGTAAACAATCGAAATGGTGGATTTTTTCGAAGCATTTATTTGTAGTTAATTCTTACAGCAATTGGTGACCTGATTATGAATCGTGATATGAATGTCATGGGTTCTTTGTGCACCTCATTAAACTTACATGATGGATGGACCTCGCTTTTACTTGCCATCTCCACGAATAGGCACACTCTCCTTAACAGAAATATAAGAAATGGGGAAAAGGATACCATACCACTTTTAAAGAGCACAAAAAATTAACACATAAACATGGTATATATGCTTAAAGTAAATGAAATGAAATGGAGCTTAACATCCTACTTTTCTGCACCGACTTGGCTATGTCTGCACAATAAAATCATCAGTAACTTGTGGTGCGATAACATCATCATAAAAACATTATTGACGTGTTTTGTAGGATTAAAGTGCATCTCTAAAAAAACCATTTAAAATCATCCATTTATAAAAGTGCTGTTTTTTGTTGCATCGTAGTATATCTCAAAACAACCTTAGAAACAAGTAACAAGTTTCAAAACCAAAAGTCTATATTATGAACAGGTGGAATGATCATTAGGCCTAGTGTATTGTCATTATACACTGTACACAGGAATTCATACTCAATAATTTATTAGTGTAATTGTATTGGAGGCCTACTCAAATATATTCTTCACAGCAGGTACAATGTACATGTACATGTAACTAGAACAAAATCAAGTATCATAGATCCTAACGAGTATCCAAATACAGGTATTCAACGTCCATAAATACAATTCCACTAATTGTTAGTAATGTTATACATAATTTAGCCAGGGAACAGTCCGAAAGTTACTGCCATCAAGTTGTGTTAGGTGTTCCGGAAAGAGTTTCTTGCTTATGGTTTATTTACAACAAGTTCTGAATAGAACTAGAAATAAGCTACACTACATGGTCTCGCTGATTTCATATTAAACAAATCATACTGTTTAGTCTGCTTTTTTCATCATTCGCATGATTAAGAATCAGTCAGATTTTAATGGCTAGCTGTAGCTTTATATTAATGGAATGTATAGTATTACATACTTCTAATAAAATTTTTATCACTGTGACATTACAAACACTTAAGAGTGTTTTAGTAATTGGCAAAATTATTGATTACTTTGATTAAACGAAGATATCTCAATTAGCCTACGTAATTACAAATAATGGATTAAGATAAAATTTATTTCTGTGTGTATCAAAACACAATAACATTTGAAGTGTTTAGATACTTGATGTGCTCTTTAAGAATGTCTAAAATGATTAGACCTCAAGTTCCTCGATGGGAATCAAATGTCGATTTTCCTTTTGTGGGGTGAAAATCTGTCTTCGTTAAATTATATGTCTCCAAATGCATAGGCCAGTATTAATATACAACCTACCTTATGTTGCACTCTCGACACATCGATTCAAAAATAGTTACAAATGTATCTCAACAAAGCCTTTATCTATAGAAGTATATGGACATGTAGCTACGAGAACGTAGCTAAAAATGTTGAGATATACTGATGTGTTTGTTTTTAGTTACGATTGGATGCCTTTAGTTCCAAGTGGCAAACTCAATTTCTTTATTAATGCATGTAACATCTTTGCAATAAGATAAGTTTATGCTATTATGATTAATTAAACTTACAGAGACCAATGTAGTGGCACAACTATCGCCTAACTCCAAATATTCGCGTTTAAATTAATGAAGCGTTGTTTTTGTCTGACATTCACCGCCATTGAAATCCATTTACAGTTACGGTGCTTTAGATTGCCCTTTTGATTGGCTGTTATAAAAGCCTTATATTTAGCCCCGCCTTCATGATGACAGCGTATCGTTTAAAAAGATGGCGGTCTTAGTAACGACTTAACGCCTCATTTTTAAAAACGACGATTTGTACCTGTTTCAGGTAGGATTATATGCTTAATTGTAGTTGGGTGTGGCAGAAATATTATAAATAATAATAATCAATCGTTGTTTTGATTAAAAATATTGTCAATTTTGTTTACAAATGCCGGGTGCGAATCGCTCCTGTATGTGCTACGTTGAAGTTAATAGCACCAACTCTTATCTCGAAACACAGAGGGTTGATAGATGAGATTTGTTATCTAATGGACATGTAGCTTATGTGTAAACAATGGAAGTTTTATCTGACAAAACAAATCAACATATAAAATTAATAAAATCCACTGAATCTGACCATGTCCATTTTATTTTGGACCCAAATCAAAAAGGTTGTGACATTTTAAGCTTTGAGTTTACATAGTAAATAATATTTTTAACATGACAGCTACATCATGTATGTGTATGACAAGACTGTCACTCATAACTTAAATGTCATTCGACTCAGCAGTGTCCTGGACCTGGTTTGACTGGGAAATGAAAAACTGACGAAAAAACACCAGATATAAATTAAAAACACCAAACTTTTTCAAGAACAGAGCTATTTCAATGTTGGTATGTACTTCTCGAGGTGCAGTCACATATAGTCAGATGTCACAACATATATTGTATGAAGATGGACAGAATCAATCATCACTATCAGGCTCTCGAGATATGCTTTTGCCTTTTCTGAAGATCAACATATGCCGTATTATTATGCTAAAAACCGTATCATTATTTCAAATAGCTTTACGGATAAATACTTACAGTTGTTATGCGTAGCTATTCTCCGAATTTTGTCACATGATTGGAATTCATTAGAAAAAAATAATCATCCAATTAACCGTGTTCAGTACTTCTCTATTTCTTCCGTAATAAAATGGCGAAAAACGGAAATGACGTATAAACACCTGACGCTGACGTCATTATAAATTGTAAACAAGAAACGTGCATAATAATTGGTTTCTCGATATTGTGATAATAACGTATTAAAAAATGTTTTGGTCTTGTCCAATTCTTTTTAGATTGATACTGTTTGCTATAGGCATTTCCACTACTTTACTAAACTAGGACGGGAAATAAACCAGTTTTATACAATATGAATCAGGTTTTTTTTTTAATATTTAGACAGGATTTATCCCCCTTGAATAAGTTTCCTACTTTAGATTGTCAGTGGCGAAAGGGCGCGAATTGTCATGCTCGATTTTGTTTACATGGGTTATTTTTGTGATTTATAGAAATAAATAGGTTTACTTACAGATTCAACATGCAGAAAGCAATCACGTAAGTATCGGTCCGCCAACAACCCATATTGGTTTACCCGGTTAATTATACGCTCATAAAATAATAATAACTAAATAAAGATTAACGTTACAAAACATGTTATAATAGAAATAATCTTTCTGACATGTTTTTGTATGAACAAACTAATCAATTAAACAGCTAACTCTCTATAATCTATTCTTTGAAAATGGGAGGGGGGGGGGGGGTCTTCATCAATTTAAATTAATGCTTTGTCTAATATTAAATGTTAATTTTTTGGCAGTGGATATTTAACCATATATGGCACCTTACTTTAATTTACCGTACGCTTCCGTTTAACATGCACAGTTCTCTGATAACTGGACTTAGCAGTTTTCGCTTTGGTGTCTGACATTAACCCATAACCAAAACCCTAACCCAACAGTTCTATTCATTCTTTGTCTAACATTGCTTCTTTTTCCGTTTCTTATAAAGGAACGAAATAGCCATACTTGAATTTCTATGGTAGAAACTGGAGAATTATTTTTAAAAGAAAATAAGATAATAAATGTAAATTGTAGAAAAGCATTTAGAATATTATTCTATTTTGGTCGAGGGTGCATTTCTGTGGATTTTGGTTTTAATTTAAGTACTAAGACTGTCAGTGGTTTATGTTTTTCCCGTAAAATCGTGCTTCTGCACCGAAACGATGTACGGTAAAATAGCGGAAGTAGATACTTTGCCGTATACGGTTAAATATCCACTTCGTAATTTTTTCAAAGATTCCAAATTAAATTGTTTCCCATGTTACCTAAATTTTGTTTCGTCTTTCACTCTGTATCGCTGACGTTCTTAAATATTGTGCGTTGACCTATAATTCGATGGTCATGGCGGCGCAAAAGCTAATCGGTTGTTTTGCTCAAACTAACTTGACTAAAATGTTCCTTTACATTGTAAAGGCGTTCACAGCCTATAGGGACTGACACACGACCGCTAAGCAGTAAAAAATTGCCTCTGTAAAATTTACTGGGAACTAAAAAAGTTTGGACAAAAAGCCAATAGAGCGAGTGTAACAAGACTTACAAAGCTTGAACTAGCTGCAGTAGCGCTGCTGTATGGGCAAAAATTTTCACATTGCACACTTGCAAGATGTACGCCCCCTTTCATTTCATTGTTTTGTCGAAATAGGTGAGTAGTCCAAATTTAATGGTAGTCGCTTGCTCCTGGTTAGTCCAGTAAACATCGAAGGTATAGTTCAACAATTAATTTCAAACTAACGTTTTGCCTTGTTCATTATTAGAATCCCATATTTTCACCATGAGATGGAATGGACCGATAAATTGTTTTTGCAATTTCAAAGACTGAATAATATTTAGTTAGCTCTTTACACTCTTTAAGATTACTGGTATCAAAAACCTACCCATGTGTTTGACATGAAATTGGCAAAACATAATCCATTGTACAAATAAGGCCACACAAAAACATATTCTGGTTCTCAGAAAATCCTTTTAAAAAGATTTTTGTTTTTATTTTGTCAAAATCGAGCTAGTTTTTCATTTTTAAGAAACACACAAAATTATTATAAATATAATATTTATTCAGCTCTATAAGAAAAACAAAATATAATGTTGTGTTGGGATCACTACCTTCTAGACGCCTTCTATATATCAGCACGTGAATGGACGGTCATATTCATATCTCAAACCCCCCTATATATTAACACAAGACATGTTCGTGCTTCGAGCACACTCCGGAGTATGTGTCTGTTTTATTAACTTCAATATATATATTACAGTGAAGAGTCGACAGGGGCAGATAACTCCCGTCTCACATGACTTATATTACAATATTGATCATCCTGTAAAGGATCAATACGACAATAAGCAAGAATTTGAAATAATGGCCGAATAATTCTGTGACTTCATCTATCTACATTTCAAATCTGCCTGTTTTTATTTTGCCAGATTTATGGTATAGATACCGTCCGTACTCATTGTTAAAGCATGTACCTGGGAGAATATTTTCAAATTTATTTCTTGGGAAAGATAAGGCATTTTAATCATAAAAAAAAAAGACGGATCAAGAACGAAATTGTTGCCATCTTTGCAAATAATAAACATTCGATACCAAGTGCCATTTGTGATTGTCTATATTGATTTCCATGGTAACGTACTTGATAGCCGATTGTTGTGTTCATTTCCTGTTATCAAGAAATATTCAATAGAGTTACTTCCTTTGATCACAGGAATATGAACGATCAAGAATTACTGACTTTGTTCACTCGGCAAACCTCGACAGATTCTACACATCTAATCTCGGCTGTATGACGAATTCCACTATATTGGAACTATTTTAAAGGTCCCGGATGAAAAATGGCTGCACCCATGGAGATTTCAGTGGAGAGTGTAGTATATCAACAAAAGTCAAGTTTGGCATTGGGTTTGGGGAATTACCAGGGAATTACCAGGGAATTATATCAAACCAGCAGCCTAGAGACAATATCTCTGCTCGTTTAGTTATATACATGTACACTTGACAAAAGACGCCATTTTGGGACTTTTTTGTAAAAGCGACACGTTTTCCTGTTAAAGTAAACCGGTAGCCGCATCGCAAATGTATGGGCGTAGGTACATATCAATTACTATCATACAGCCGAGGGTAGATGTAGGGTACCGGAATCTGCCGAGGTTTGCCGAGTGTGACTTTGTTGTTATTTTTATTTTTTATTTTTTTTAATAAAAACAGATGACACGGCCCATTTTTGATGACGCAGCTGTATCTGAGAAACAGAATATTTTTTTTGTGTGGCCTAAGTATTCCAACTACAAAAAAAAAGTTTATTAATGCGACTGATTCAGACCATTATTTGAATATCAAGAGTATTTTAAATATGTTTGTATGCATTTAATAATATAGCAAAAATGACAATAAATAGAATAATTACAGAAAGTGTCCTTTAAGAGCGATTATCCATGTCTCAATATTCCAGTTCTCTACATATATACTCTTCAAAAAAAGTAGGGGATATTCCGAAACGGAAACAATACAAAACTGTGAAAATGTGCTGCTGTTTTTATTAGAGGTAACCAGTATATGTTAATAACAGGCCAATTGCCTACACATGAACATAAACAGTTCATATGGGCAGCTTATCTGAAGGCTCCATTTCACTCGCAAAGAGATACATGTACACTGTCAAAAGTGAAAATGGACGTTTTTGCTTTTTGTCTTAATAATGAGTAATTGCTCCCACCAATCATCAGACATTCAGCAATTCATCGTGGCATGCTCCTAATCAACCGTCCAATCACGATTTGGGGCAATCTGACCCCCTCCTCTTGCAGTACCATGGCCAATTCTTGCAGTGTTGTCCGTTGATGTTGACGTCGACGAACACATCTCCCGATCAAATTAAACGTAACACACTAAAGCAAAGATACGCTAAACAGTAAATCTTATGCAAGAACCAATAGGAAAGCAAATGTGGATAGGATAAACCAGCAAGCGGCAGTTTTCATCAAACCTTTCTTGAAGTGTCAAATTTGACAATGACCCTCTCCCATGTGTATGGCGCTATTGCGTGTCACGTACAGCTCAGTGGTTCTGTTGGGGCGATAAGTTCTTCATCTGTGAACATACAGTCAAAGCATGTCAAGTGTCCATGACTATTTATCATATCACAACCTGCATAGGTATTTGCATTTCAATATCCCCTACTCTTTTTGAAGAGTATATATCAACGAAAACTAGAAAATACTAGCTCAGTAGTACGATATTAAAGGATTTGGTTTAAATTTGGTGTGAAGCATGGGTATCATCATATTCCTGAAGCAATGGCCTGAGAATTCCCTCTCTGCTGGATTGACTTCTGATACTTGAGTTTTTGAGGGAGTGTGTCTATTCTTCCCGTTCAATCTGGGGTCATCCCTAAACTTTGGACAGTGATTTAAAGATACATTATGGGAGATTTTTATAGAGAATTGGCCATTCTTGCTATAACAGTTCAAAAGTAGATGATGAAAGAAGAATATATTGAAAATTTCAGTCAAATTACTTTATTCTGAACATAGTTATCATCGTTGTAATATTTGCCTAGAAATGGTAGCGAAATGCGTCTTCACCTTGGCCGACCGTTTGATTGACAGGCGTTAACTCCACCTACATATCTCGATTATCAAGTAAAGTTTTCAATGGCATACGGAAACGCTTTACAGCGGCCTCGCTAAGTACACTCTATCATTTAGCCTCGATCTAACTGACGTATTTTCATCAGGTTGCCCCATACTTGAATTAATCAATTAGTGAAATCCTATTTAAATCCGAGCTGTAGTCGAGCCATCCGTGGATCTACAGAGTTGATTTTGGGCTTGTTGTTTAAATAAAGATCTAATTTATAATTTCTATAACATCTGAAGCCTAAATTAAGACTTGCAATAATCAGATTTAGCTCTTGCATAATGCATGTTTAAGGTATTAAAAACAGTGAAAGTATTGTTTGTCTCCAAACAGTATTGTTTACGTTGTAGCCGTTTTGACAGCCTCGTTTGACACACAATTAGCTTTTTTTGCAATATTCTGTTATGCACTGGTTAATTGGTCTTAAGAAATTTTGTGAGTCATAAATTAACGTTATGTAAACATATTTGGAGCTCTATTTAAACCCAAGTGGCATTGTTACGCAGTTACATGTAGCTATTAGGACTAATCAAACGAAACACTGCGAGGAGTAGTGGGGGGGAGGGGGTAATGAGATGACAAAACAAACCCTATCAATATTTAGCGTTCTGTGACCTCCTTTTCCGAAAATCTTCCAACAGGCACTACTCTGTTCTTCATCCATCTCTTGCAAAATGTGGGCGTATCTTGCAAGTCGTCTGCTTGTTATCACTGTGAGGGCTAGACTTGTGTAACTGTGAACTTATTTAATTTTCTTTCTTAGGCGATGCATTTCAAGCACCGGTATGCGAAATGCACCTTTGGGATGTTTATGGTGGGAAAATGTACACAGAACACACAGCAGAATCCGTATAACGGTTGCTCCCAGACATTCTGTTGTATTGGTACCTATCATTCAAAGGTCTCTATTTCATGTCCTAACTAGATCCTATTATCCCTGAGTGTGAATATTTAACTAATAATGACTCAGTTTACGCAATGTACCTTATAGTAACAGTTTGTGTTTGTTGCTTATAGAGAGAGAAATAGGGTTTAAAGTAGCTAAGTCTCTAACTCAATATCATCCAAAATCTTCGACATTGAAAACACAAATTATTTGTCGGTTTAAATCAACATTGATGTTGTGATCTTACCGGGAAAAGATGGATTTCTGATATCCAATATTTAAGACAAAATAAACATTTTACAATTGGTACACAAATCGTATACCATAATGCGTTTCAGCGCTACTGGTAATAAGGGAATCGAAAAACAAGGCTCGGCATATTCCACAAGTAATGTCAAACGGTGACGCTATATTCTTATCTGGAGAGCTAGCCCAATAAATAATATCGGCGTAGACTAGAATAACACAACGCTAGAGATTAAAATTCGATTGAGAATACTGGTGTATTTCGCCGAACCTAACTGATTAAAAATTACAGTAAAAACAGAAACGATTGAATGTGAATCAATTTATATACATTCATATTACATTATTGTATGCGTTGCGACCCATTTGTGTCAATTTCTAGGTCCCAAATATTAGCGACTTTGCTCCTTTAACGCCCACTCGTTTATTTCTCTATTACGTCATTTGCTGTAAACAGACATTTATTTTGCTTGCCAATCAGTTGAAGTAGATTTTCCAAAATCTGTATTTAGGAACTGTGATGGATTGTAGATGGCCACAATATATAGTGGTTAAATTATAAAGTCATATAAATATTTGCAAATTCACTATTTTGATTTTTCTTATCACCATCTCCTTTTGTAAAATAAATTAAATTAGAAAGTGTTTTATGTGAACAGAACACCAAAATACATGTTTAGATACAAGAAAGAGATTTTCTTTCTTTTAGTTTTAATAAATTATTAAATATGACAAATTTCTTATTAAAAAGAAATATTGGATTTGTGATTTATTTAGTATGATGAGATGTAGTTTCTTGTCGAGTTTTATTCTTTAGAATAAAATAGTGTTTAATATTATCCCTATTGAGTCCAGATCTGGTACGTACAGGTACATTCGGATATATTCGGATACGTTTCGATAGATCAATACGATTGCTACGACTGACCTCAATATATATGATAATACCTGATAGGATCACCACGAATTCAATCGTAGCACGAATCGTGATAGTGGGAAACTAGCATAAAGATTTAGCTCTTTTTTTAGAAATCATATATTGCCTCCAGTACTAATAAAACTATTTTATATTTTTTCAGATCTTTCTTTACTAAACCACCAGCTTCTAAAAACAGAGAGTAAGTATTATCAATGCATTTGTTTCCTTATTAATGCAGTCTGATTAAAACACAGATCCTATTTCTTTTCATTTTTTATAGTTCAAAATTTTGTTTTACTTGTCTTTACTACACTAGGATCTGGAAGAGTTGTTATATAACCCAGGTTCTGATTGATGTGAGGGATTAGTCAATGAAACAGACTGTTGCGGCGAGTTCTTGGCATGCGGTGCATGGAACTGTGGATATCCTACTAGAAACGTCAACGGTGATTAGTTAATCAAACGTCTGACCTCATAGGGTCAAAAGCCGCTGGTATGACCCCTGACGCGACCTTCCACTATAACCGGTCAGATCTTCATGTAGTGGAGACCATTGAAAGTATAATAAAAAGTGACACGGAATACAGATCTGTACTTTAATCAGATTGCCTTACAAAATCTATCTGTATGGATTTAAATGCTAAATGTCAGAAATCAGAAGAATCTTAATTTTATGTCTTTACACCAATATAAAAGTAAATTTAAACAACTTTTAACGCATTAAGAATCAAGAAAGACACACGACAAGCCAGACAGTTCATATATCTCTAGAGTAAAAAAATGCTAAATTCCTATCATAGTGCATGAAAATTTGATTACAAGATGGACTTAAAGGTCACCGGAAAAGCTTCATAAATGTTTTAAATAATGCAAGTAATTATGTCAACATATCCTTTCCATAAATATAACACGACCCGAATGTCAATATTACCTGCAACAGGTAAATTTCAATGTTAGTAATTTCCGTTGTTCTCCGTAGGTAGTCGTAACTTTCTGTCAATAAACAACAATCTTTGACGTCATTTTAGTCCTTCTACTCATAGAAATATAGACTAGAATGACGTCACAGATTGTTTATTGGCGGAAAGGATACGTCGACATAATTACTTGCTTTTCCAGTGACCTTTAAATAATTTGACATATTTACTGTATATTCTATTTCAGGCCGTCCGAAAAATCGCCTATGAGGGTGAAGAATAATTCACCAAAGAAAGTCGATAGTCCAGTCAAGAGTGATGTAGACTCACCAATTAAAGTACGTAGTAAAAAGCGCTCAAGGATTATTGAAAGTGATGAAGACGAAGAAAATGAAGTAAAGCCAGTTGAAGAAACAAAAATTGATGAAAAATTAGAAGTTGATAAAAAATTAGACCTTGATGAAAAATCCAACAAAACTGAAGAAAAGGGGATTACTAGTAAAACTAAGAAAAAGTTAGATAGTTTTAAGAATAGTAAGGTGGCTGATGACGAAATTAAAAGTCCTAAAGTAAATAAAAAGTCAGAAAATTTGGAAAGTAGCAAAACACCAAAGTCCAAAACACCTGAAGTTATAACTGTTCAGGTTTGTACTTTATTCTGTCATATTTTTGTATGAATAAAGATTTTAATTAAAGGCTCAATGTGTCATTAAAGCCCCCGTCGGACCGGGGCGGCGTCCTTCCTGCACGGCTGCGACCGTACAGCGACCAGAAAATGCACAAGGTCGCGGGCAAACGTGAATGAACACAACACAAGAAAATGTCCTAAAAAATTACAAACTTAAAAAAGGTCTCACAGCTTTCCAAGTCAGAATGCAGAACCTTGGCTTTGTTTTGAACATGACTCGGCCATCCTTGGCGACCACAGAGTCCACAGCATGATATCTGGCATTTACATCACGCTTTTACCACGCTTTATCATACGGTCTGTCTTTGAGTCAACTGGCGGGTTTTTCGATTCCCCGGTTGTACGTGACAAGGAGTAGGGTCGCCTGTCCAACTTCATGGGTTTTCTCTGGGTCCTCTGGTTTCCTCCCACTGCTAAAGACCCCTATGCGCAAGCGAAATTGAAATAAAATTGAACCATGTGTTAGTCCTGAGATGACCTAGTTTGACCTAGTGGACGTTAAACCCCATTTCTCTCTCTTTTTGTACAGGTATAATATTCTTTAATTAACAACTGGTCTTCAATCAGTGATAAATGGATGACAATTGAAAGAATATTTTTTTTAAATTGTAGGATGAGGAAACAGATACCTCAACGGTAGCATCACCATTGAAATCTCCTGGTGGATTTCCTATTCGTAAAACAGGTAAACTGAGACCCTATTTCAAAGGATATGATGTGTTGACTGCATTGGCTACAATTACCAGAAAGTCATACCCCTACTATTATTAAACAGTATGATATGAGGGTAATTTTGCCCGGACAGCTACACTACAGCCTACTCTTATTATGAATTCCAACTACCGAGGGATCTTTTACGTTCATGCCAATGTGTACACAGGACCACAGGTTTTTGACCCATCCGAACGACTAGACAGCTCTCCTTGTCAGGTCCTCCATCCTGCACAACTGACAAGGGGAAACCATGCCGGAAAATCCAAATGAACTTTCTCGGCCAACACGGAGATCAAACCCACAACCTCCAGGCTAGTGAGCCAGCGTCTTACTCACTTAGCCACTGTCGCTCCAAATTGTTATTGAAACTAATTATTTGAACATTTTTTTCAGCTCGTAAGAGTATGGGATTAGGCAGTGCTGTTAAAAGAAAGAGTATAGCGGACAGTCCACAGTCTGCTCCAGTAGAGAGTCCAGCCAAACGACAAAAATCTGAATCCACAGTTAAAACGGATGAAGATTTAGGAATAAAGCCTTTACCAGCAGACACTGATGATGTTGAAATGAAGGTAAAAATCGTTAAAATAGATCTCAATTCAGCAACAATAATTTTATTACACAGTTCTTTTTGTTTTTTGTTTTTTTAAAATACTGTTGAAAATGATGTCTAGAATGTTACTCAACCAATTTGTTTCACAGAGGATTACGGAAGTCTTCTAATATCTCTGTAAAAGGTGACTTCCTTCAACATGTGACATCACATCGCGTGGCCTCAATCATTGGCTCAGTGGCGTGTGCATTGTTTACACATATAAGACCAAGGCTCTACACAGCATTTTGAACTTACTTGTGCAAACATAAGTAAATTTTCAAAACCACTAGCCAAACAAAATTTTCAGTTGCCAAGTCTGAAGATTAGAATAATTTGTTGTATGATATAGCTAAATTATATTGTGAACATACATAACTCTTCAACTTGTCGTCCTATAATTATTAATAATAATAAAAGATGTTTTAAATTTTTTTCCGACTGGGACTCACTGCGAAACGAAGACGGCGAAGCTTGTAATTTTGCTTGTTTGGATGGTGTAGCGTCAGTAGCATGACTATCATCATTTTTCCCCAACTGAGACTCACTGCGAGACGAAGTTACTTTACTAGTAAAGTAAGACGATATAGGTTTGATTCCTCTGCTAGCCATGCTGTCAGCTGTCTCGTAAACTTCCGATAAATACAGCGCATGCGCAATGAGAATTTCCTCGCAGAGGACAATGCGATTGACCCAATTTCAAACCAGGAAAGAAACAAGAGTGACAGTTGACCGGGATCATTGCCGATTACGTTATCTTTACGGAGAAAAGTTCAGATAGCTATAGTGTTAATTCGGGACTTCAAGATATATGTTCACTCGCCAGAAACCTAGCAGTTATAAATATCTGGTCGCCATTGTCAAAATTCACTCGCAAATGCGAGTGTTTCAGTCGCATTGTAGAGCCTTGCATTAGACGTTACTGGTTTGGGCAGAATGGCGTCTTTTACTCATTTTAATACCCATTTACACTAAATAGGAAATAATTTTTACCTACAAATACTTCCAACGTCTTTATTTATTTTTCTAATACATAAAAAAAATGTTTTAGAATTTAATTTGTCGGAGGAAAAAAGTTAATATTTGTGGTTCATTAAGTTGCATCGATTTCATCCCTATCAGTGATTGTAGCGGCCTAGTGAATATTCACTGCTGATCAGTATGTTACTGAACTACAATTTCCTGCCAGTGCTCATTCTTTAAGACATAGGCTATGTAGATATTTTGTAAATTTAATTATTTCAAATTGAAAATTATTTAATTTCTACTTACCTGTAGGAAACGGAAACAGAAGAAAAAAGTGAAATAGAAATAAAAAATAAAATAAAAGAAGAAATAAAAGAAGAAATTGAAGACACAAAAAAGGAAGAAGTTAGATCAAAAAAGGGTAAAGAGAAGAAAATAAATTATTTCTGTAAATTTTTATGTAGATGAAAGCATCTTCAAATCTATTAACATTGCTAAAACCTTACAATATCAATGTCTGCCTCTTGTAGGGCAGTCCATGTTAAAATGGGAACCTGATCTAATGTAGTAATTATCAACAAATAGTTTGAAAGCCTTCTTTTGAAAGAAAACTAAACTAGCTAAACATGCACCATGGATCAGCAATTAGAGGGAGAAAACTCTACTTGTCATATTGGTAAAGTATGCTAAAAATGTGTATTATGAAACTGTTTACATGTGTTTTGATGTACAGGTAGATGCTCTAAACAGTTGTGTTATTTTTATCCGCCCACATTTGATGTACCGGTTGATGCTCTACACACTACATGGCCCTTATTCACGAAAATTTAAACTAAGATACAATCGAAATTTTAAGAAATACTGCAATTCGATTGGCTGACCAGTAAAATCAATTTGCATATATCCAAGGAAGTTGCAGTATTTCTTAACATTTCGGTTGTAACTTAGTTTAAGTTTTCGTGAATAAGGGCCCAGTTCTTGTTAAAAATAAAAATAAACTGACAGGGAGTGTTCATTTGTTCGTATTGCGGAACTCTTTCCAAATTATGTACTTGTGAACATTGTATAGAAGGCAGTTTGTTCAGTTACTATGAATAGCCCTTTAGAATTCATTTAAAATGTTTAGTCTCGAAATGACCTAATTTGTGTCGAGTGGACGTTAAACCCCATTTCTCTCGCTCATTTAACATGTTCAAATTCATGAATACTTTTTGAACACAAGTTCTCAATATAATATTTTAAGACTTAGTAAGAAAGGACCCCAGAAATTTCTAAATTTTCAGATTATAAATTCTGCATGTGTTTTGGTGTGTATCTCTCACATTCACCTTTTGAGTGATGAATTTTCTGAAAACGATACAGAAAAATATTCTCAATGGAATTTATTAGAATCTGTTCGGGTTGTTCATAATGGCATAAGGAGGAAACTTATCAAATTCCAGAATATTTTGAAGGTATATTTCATATTTATAAGCCCTGTTTAATTTAAATTCACCGGTGTGGTTCCCCCTTGTCAGTGATGCAGGATAGATTGCCTGACAAGGACAGCTGTCTAGTCCTTCGGATGGTACGGAAAACCAAGGTCCCATGTACACATTGGCGTCCACGTAAAAGATCCATTGACAGATGGAATTTGATATAAGAGTAGGCCATAGTGCCGCTGTCTGGGCAAAATTTCCCTCATAGCACACTGTATGGCGTATGCTCGTCTTCATTAGCCCAGTTCGGGGTAGGACGTAAAACCCATTTTATTTCATTTCATTTCTTTAAATTCATTAAATCTTGTGTTACAGGAGAAAGTGATTGATCTATATCGAGCCTGAAAAGTTTCTGTCAGTGTTTTATATGTTAGTTTACTTTCGGTATCTGTCAAATAGAGTTTGAGTTTCTTATATATATTTTTTTACAGTGAAAAAGGAGAAGGGAAAATCTAATTCCCCTGGTAGTAAAACAAGCAAAAAACCTGTAAATGATTTTTTCTGTAAGTACTAATTTCGTCAGTCTTCTTATTTCTTTTTCTGTTTTATTTTTGGATCCCTGCCTTAGAGAATGTTTTTTTTATAAAACTTGAAAATACCTTATCACAACCTCACAGATAGGTTTGAACATCATTGTCAACTAGGGCTGGCGAAAAATATTGATATAGCCAATAATTGTCGGCAACTACGGGAAAATATTGATATCGATATTCAGTTCTTGATATCGATACTCGTATAGAAAATAAAGGATCTTCTATTAAATGAAATTAACAGAATGTTTTGTGTCAAATAATCACTGTCCTATCATTCAAAACACGCTTAAACTAAAAACATACAAAAAGGAACAACCACAGTAGTGGTAATTATTGCGGTCGCTTACAACAATAACAATGAATAATTAATTAATTGTTCAGGGGAAATAACTTGATTTTAATAGAAATTTATTTATTATTATAAGTGGGTGAGGAAAATTGTCACTAGTGATTGATGCCGAGTGCGAATCTGCGAATACTATTTTGTTAATAACACCATCAGATTTACATGGAACCTTGGTTTTTCGTTGCATTCGAACAGTTATACTCCTTCACCACTCAAAAGGGAGGAAGTGAGCCGAAAAATCACTACTTTCTCGGCCAAAACCGGGATCGAACAAGGGACCTCCTGGTTAGCTAGCCAACGTCTTACTGACGCAGGATTGTTGGGGCCAGAGGTCGCAGTTACCCAAAAATCTGCGTATTTCACATATTTTTTTTCAAAATAAACGCAAATATTGACGAATGCAGTGTATTTTTTCACGCAGAAAATTTCCCCGACGTGAGAATAAATAGATTATTCTATGTCGTGGTTTGTACAATTTCTGTGCTTCACACAGCATTTACACACCTACTGCACCTAGTCTCCGTAGGTTTTTATATTTCCACTTATTTCATTCATAATCTTTAAGTTAATGACAGTAAGCCTTCTATGCGTAGCTATTCTGAGACACCCCTATTTTGCTGCACTGGAAGCATTAAATCACATTTCATACAAGACTTTAGATTGGCTAGAACACAATACACTGTTAAAATTCGGCCAATCAAATATTGGCTTTCATAGCGATAGTTTTCTCTTTACTTCCTATCGAAGTGAAAGATTGAAATGACTATGTCGTCAACCATAGATATGCCATTAACCTCCAGTCGTCATTAGACTAAATACAGTAGGCCTATCAATGAAATAAGAACGCTTAAAATAGGGTTGTTCACATAACGGCTTTACTTGCTTCTATTGAGTATTTTGATAGGCCTTAAGTCACGCTGATGTAGATGGCAAAAACGCACAATTTTCGAATGTCTGTGTATTTTTACGTAACTCAAAATTGATCCACTGTGACCTCTGATTGGGGCTAATGGTGGACTGGTATTGCTTCAGCAATACTATCAGTATGTTTACTTAAAGATACACAATGTGACAACCTGTGACCATTCCTGTGGGTATATGTTTCTTTGTCCCGCAACCTGTCTTTGCAAATGAAGACAAGCCAAACTGCCATGTAAATTGTCAATCTGAAATTTCTTGTTATATCACAGAAATAATCAGGAATTTTTTTTTTATTTTTTTTTTTATTTTAAGCACCTAAAGCTAAAAAAGAAACGAAGGATGATCTAAAGAAAGAAACAGTTGTTAGTCCTAAGAGTAAACAGACCAGTCCCAAAAAAGAAAAAAATGTGGAAGAAAAATCTAATACAGGGTGAGTTGATATTACAATTAATGTTAAAGTTCTTTGCTTGATAAAGACGGGTGTTTCCTCAGCGAAACGTCGCTAAAATAAACTCTTCAAGTAACTTGTATTCCATATAATTGTGTCATGTGTTAACGTTAAAAAGACTATAAAAATTATTTAGCCAAAATCTGGTGTGCCCAGTCTGAACACTTAAAACCAAATATGAGGCTTGTTTTGGTTTAGAATTGATCCATTCCAAATATTTCAAAACAAATTAGAAAAATTATTGTTCCTTTTTAAAATTTAGATCAAGACAAAGGTATTGAATTGGGTTGATCTGTTTCGCAAGGTGGGGGCGGTGGATGGCCGATCGGTTAGCACGTGGGTGTTGTATCATAGGGTCTGTCATGGAGTCAACTGAGTTTCAATTTCCTGGTTGTATTTGGCAAGGAGGATGGTCGTATCATAAGGTCTGTCATTGAGTCAACTGGCGTAGTTTCGATTTCCCGGTTGTACGTGTCCAACCTCGTTGGTTTTCTCCAGGTCCTCTGGTTTCCTCCCACTGTAAAACATATTACATAATTGTTGAGAATATCACAGTATAAAGGGATATATGTACCTTCATAAAAAACATTCCAATATAGAGGATATATCTTAAATGAACATTCCCTGGGTTGCACATGACATTTAAATTATGAAAAGCCATATCACTGTGGAATAAAGTATTTAACATAATTTGATGATACTGAGGATGAATTGTTGCAGGATAAACAAGCGCTCTTTAATATGATTTATTCAACAACACTTTTTATATATGTATCTTTTTGCTAAATTCATTGTTAGAAACGTTTTAAAAATAGAAGTTTTATAAGCTTATTGAAAGGATTAAACCTATTTTTAGCACATCTTTTAATGGATTTTGATTTTTTTTCAAGTATATCGGACAATAACTGCCTTAAGCTATAAATTCATGTGAATTTCTCATCTGTTAAAGTTATCTTTCTTTTGATTTTCAGTATAATTTCTCAACTGTTTGTTTTCTTGAATATCTACCTTTCTTGTAGATAGGGGGGTTGGATTGCCGAATGGTTAGCACGTGCGTGCTGTATCATAAAGCCTGTCATTGAGTCAACTGGCGTGGTTTTGAATCCCCGGTTGTACGTGACAAGGAGTAGGGTCGTCTGTCCAACCTCGTGGGTTTTCTCCGGGTCCTCCGGTTTCCTCCCACTGCTAAAGACCCCTACGCGCAAGCGAATTATTGAAATAAAATTAAACCATATGTTAGTCCCAAAATGACCTAGTTTGTGTCGAGTGGACATTAAACCCCATTTCTCTCTCTCTCTCTCTCTCTTTCTTGTAGATAACAAAATTTGGAAACTGTTTCCCATATTTTTGAGGTTTATGTAGGTGTTATAAAGTCTAGAAATAGAATGAATTGTTCATGACAATGAGATTATAAGATTTTATTAACTCCAATATTTATATGCCGACACATATATACTTTGGGTGTAGAAAGTCGTCACTTCGGTCCGTCAATAATTTCTTGTTATGATCGCAAACCTTGAGGGGATGATCCCTATCAATTTTCAGTGTTCTAGGAATCCATTTGTAAATGTGGTTCATTTTCTTTGCGTCTCAGTATATAGATTGTGTTATTTTAAGTTTGGAGTTGACCAAATTTGTCTATTATTGTTGTACCGAGTTAGTGTTGATTTGGTAATCAATTAGTGTTGTACTGATTTAGTGTTGATTTGTTATTCAATTAGTGTTGTACCGAGTTAGTGTTGATTTGGTATTCAATTTGTGTTGTACCGAGTTAGTGTTGATTTGGTATTCAATTAGTGTTGTACCGAATTAGTGTTGATTTGGTATTCAATTTGTGTTGTACCGAGTTAGTGTTGATTTGGTATTCAATTAGTGTTGTACCGAGTTAGTGTTGATTTGGTATTCAATTAGTGTTGTACCAAGTTAGTGTTGATTTGGTATTCAACTAGTGTTGTACTGAGTTAGTGTTGTAAAAGTAAAATGAAAATACTGCTAGTATCATGTTCTTGCCTAATGAAAGTGTTAGATATTATTTGTACTAAACCAAAAGATGCCATTCCTAATGGTACAGTTAATGATAAACCAATTTAAAAAATAAAACAAACGTAATTTCTAAAGCTGCTGTAATAACCAAAAAGCTAAATTTTACTGCTATTCAGAATCGTCAACAATAGATTTTTTACGGCTGTAATATAGTTGATAGATGTGTAGAGAATTGCAAATGTGATGGCTATTTATAGTCTACTAGACTCTAGTGCCAAGTATTATTATGCTGCGTGGTTAGTCAGACATCACTTCGAGACAAGCCACTGAAGCGTGCACATTCGCCGTGTCGAGTCAAACTTTATGTAGAGAAAATTTTCACTCACAAGTCACCTTACCTATATCAAATTCCACAAATCTTGTAAAACATTGCAATATCCCTTAAATATTATGACTTTTGACTGCTGAGTTTCTGAGGTTTCGTAACCAAGACGTGGGCACTACAATGTCACAGCCATAAATCTGTTCGCTTGTGTTGATAGGGTTAATTAAAGAAGTAGAGACTGGACAACCAGACCTTAAATCCGGTCCCTCATATTGGTTGAAAGGGTTAATTAAAAACCTAACACATGGAAGTAGCCCCCAACAACCAGATGCTTGTATTGTGGGCACTACAATGTCTCGTCCGTAAATTCAGTCGTGCGTATTGAAAGGGTTAATATATAAAAACTAAAAGCTTGATGTGATTGTCTCGGGTTTCGTTATCTTGTCATTTATGTTTCACAGTACGTGTCGAACTGTCAATCTTGTTTATTGTTAGTTACTACATATATCTTATCTTCTAATGCCACTTAATTCAATATATTGATTAACTGTCATCTTGTACTCTTGTAGAAAAACGTCATGGATATTTAAATAACTGGTTGTATTATGTTACATGAAAAACATGATTATACAACTGTCCAAAATAATTCAGAAGATGTACAAGCGCAACTGTGAATTAGAGTTTTTATTTCCTGGTTTGAAGATATTTTTAGCATTTGTTATCGACTAAATTTTGAATATTTATTGAAAACCTATTCTTATGTGTGTGAAATAGCTTTATTTAACGTCCGCTTCCACCGAAAAGATATATTTCAGACAAACCTATTTTTAAAGGAGCTAAATCGCTAATATTTGGGACCTAGAAATTGACCCAAATGGGTTGCAATGCATATAACAATGTAATATGATTGTATATATAAATTGTTACCGTTTTGACTCTAATTTAAAATCAGTTACATCCAGCGAAATACAGCATGAGTCTCAACCGAAAAGCAATTTCTAGCGTCTAGTTATTCCAGTCTATTGCGCATGCTCTCCAGATAAGATATGGGGGGGGTTGGATGGCTGAATGGTTAGCGTGCGCGCGCTGTATCATACAGTCTGTCATTGAGTCGACTGGCGTGGTTTCGAATCCCCGGTTGTACGTGGCAAGGAGTAGGGTCGCCTGTCCAACCTCGTGGGTTTTCTCCGGGTCCTCCGGTTTCCTCCCACTGCTAAAGACCCCTACGCGCAAGCGAATTATGTAAATAAAATTAAACCGTATGTTAGTCCCGAAATGACCTAGTTTGTGTCGAGTGGACGTTAAACCCCATTTCTCTCTCTCTCTCTATAAGATATGGCGTGACCGTTTGACATGAGTTGTGAAATATGTCTAGCCTTGTTCTTTCTGGTCACTTTTCACAAATGACGCTGAAACGCACTATGGTACACGATTCGTGTACCAATGGTAAAATGTTTATTTTGTCTTAAATATTGGATATCAGAAGACTACCTTTTCGCAGCAAGATCACAATATCAATGTTGATTTGAATTGACAAATAATTCTCAATTTCAACGCGTAAGACTTTGGATGATATTGAGCTAGAGACTTAGCTACTTTAATCCCAAATGTCATTAAATATTTTCCGGTAAACTTTTCTTACCTCCAAATTGGACCAAAATGTCTAACAAATGAAAATGAAATGAAATGGGGTTTAACGTCCTACTGTTCTGCTCCTATACTGGGCTAATGAAGACGGGCATACGCCACACAGTGGGCTATGAGGGAAATTTTGCCCGGGCAGTGGCACTATCGCCTACTCTTATATCGAATTCCAACTGCCAAGGGATCTTTTACGTGCATTCCAATGTATACACGGGACCTTGGTTTTTCGTATCATCCAAAGGACTAGACAGCTGTCCTTGTCAGTCCCTCCGTTCTGCACCACTGACAAGGGGAAACCACGTCGGAAAATCCGGATGAACTTTCTCGGCCAATGCAGGGATCGAACACCCGACCTCCAGGCTAGCGAGCCAGCGTCTTAACCACCTAGCCACCGTGGCTCCAAAATGTCTAACAATACTTCTATTCTGATGGTAGCATTTATACATGAGCATCAGTGTCTTCATGAACAGAATTTCCTGGTATGAAAATATTTAGTAATTGTTATCTACGAAATTTTGAATATTTATTGAAAACCTATATCCCAGATTTCATTAAATATTTTCCCCATAAACTTTTCTTATCTCCAAATTGGACCAAAATATCTACACGATACATCTGTTCTGATGGTAGCATTTATACATGGGCATCGGTGTTATCATGAACTGAATGAAGGTACAGCCATCACATGGCCGATTGAAATCCCTGGGGCATAATGTGTTGTGATCAGAAAGAGGTTGCGTGTTATATATGGCGATGTATCATACGTTGAGTCTCTGAGTAAGACGCTCGCTAGCTAACGTCTCCCAAAGTTTAAATCATAGCATGTAAAAAGTGAATGTATGATCCTTTGATGTTTGAGACAAAACAGGAGTTGTCAATCATGTTTCAATACAACATTAATCTGTTAATCCATTCTCTCTTGTTAATTTGGTACAAAAAGATTAATTCAGGTGAGCGGCAGGCGCTCGAAAGCTATCGCTCGCCTCAAAAAACAATGAGTGTCATACTTTGGATTAGTAAATGAGTTATACTAATGTCAAACTGACAATGACCTACATGTACATTCTAAAATAGGTAATATTTTAGGCACATGTTTGAAAAAGCACATTTATTTTTTTTTTTTGCATTGAAAATGGTGTAAAAACTTTTGTTATTCCCTTGAAAAGCACACACCATCAACTGCCCATGACAAGAATTGTGTGTTGTATGTGGGTTTTTAAGTTATAGACACCAATTACCGCAGGAAATGTAGCAGTGGTTAATGAGCTTATCGGGCTCATAATCATAGCTTAAGGAATAATGGTAGTTCAATATCTTCTGCAATACTCGGGCATGGACAAGTTTATTTTTTAGGATTTTTATATGTCTTTTAACAGTAATGTTGTAGAGCATTTAGTATACCAGTAAAAGATGTCTTATACTTATATTATTAAGTTGTTAGATTTTAAATTTTCTAAAATGCTTGAAGCAGACACTGTCTGTCTTTATAATATGGTCATTATATCAACTGATCATTATATTTTACGTGCTAGATTCAGATACTGGCTTGATTAGAAGATTTTATAGTAAATTGCTTCCAGCAGACGACACTACTTGTCGTGTATAAATGCCATTATAAATTGTCATCATTAGAATACAAGTATCATGTACTTGGAGACCAGAAAAGCGTATGGGAAAATATTTTATGACTTTTCATTTAGGAATTAAGAAATGGTTTTCAATAAATATTCAAAATTTCGTAGATATGTATAGAAATCTGGTAAAAATCATTTAGCCGATATTGTTTGGTAGCTAAAGGGGCATTATGTAAGATATAGATAAAGAGCTGGTTGTTCTCGCTGTTGATAATGCAAAATGAATATACTGAAAATTTCATTCTAATTACTTTGTGCATTGATCGTAACCACTGTACTGTTCATTCGGGCCTTAGCCTCGCTTCTCCATTTTTAAATTAAATCATGGCCGAACAGTTTTAATCTACTTAAAACCAGAACCATTCGATGGCATCAAGGGTAGATTATACTCTTGTCATGTTAATAAATATCTAATTAATAATTTATATAACATTTAAGACGCAAAGAAAGACCTGTGCAATACGTGGATTTATCTCTTACATAATGCCTGTTTAAATAATACTTTAATTTTATTATTCCGAAAACCTGAGTTCTTTTTCATACCCTCTCCCTTTAAGCAATGGTTTTAGTTAAAACAAATTTAAAGCTTAATGGAGAGTTTCTCCCCTTTTCACCCATTAAACTAAATGTTAATACCCATTAAGAAGTGTTTATAGGAAGGTCTTGAGACGTGATTAATTTTCGTTGGTATAAGATTTCTGTTGAATTATGTGATTGCCATTGAGCCGTCATGTCCCGCTTAATGAAACTAAGTAGTATTTAAGACCGAGTGCGGGAAAACTTCAGATGGTCACAGAAAAAGTCCAGGAGATTGGCTATACGCTGTGCATACTAACAACCAGTTTGTTGTGATTGTGAAGAGATTGTTCTTTACCCCCAGGTTCGATGAAGACTCGTTAGATTTCTTAATAAGAATGTTTAGTGGTGAGATATATTCCGTACAAGTTGCCAGTAACACAAGACGATATTGACAATTTGGTTATTTATAGACAGTATTTATCACGCTTCTATCTTCTAATTGTGCATGTCGTTGAAGTTTTATACTGACAGCAGGAATAGGATATACTTGAAGGTTTAAATTTGAAAAATTTCAACTTTTAATATAGATTATTTCATATTGTTTGTAAGAAACACATACAAAAAAATAGAAAGTCGGTTAGTCTTGTCGATGCATTAATTGTATTTATATAAATATTTTGGGTGAAATCAGACATAATTTTTAATACTTACACATTGAAATGTTGTGATATATTTCTTCTTTGATTGACATTTAGTAATTGAACGTATTAACACAAGGTAGTTGTATGGATACACAATTACTGAGTTTAATACTAAGCGACGTTTCGACAAGGATATTATCTTCTTTATCATGCAAACCTCGTCAAAACGTACGCTTAGTATTAAACTCAGTAATTGTGTATCCATAAAATTGTACCTTGTGTTATCATATATTGTAGTCAACCCTGTCAGTTGCCTTACTTGTAAATGCTTGAAAGTGTAAAGTTATCATCCAGTTGTGTTTATTTTCATGAGGTCAAGTAGCCTATTGATTTTCAACCATTTCTGATACTAAATGTCGTAGTTATGGCCCTTGATTACTTGTAGATGCTCTAGGTGTTAAATTATCATCTGATTGACTTGAGTTTTTATGTTCATGAGAAGAAGTAACCTATTGATTTCTAATGATTACTTTCAGATTTCTTGCCCTTGATCACTTTACCTTCATCAGATACATGTGTTTTATTTTTGCTAAAATAAGAACTAAAAGCCTATCAAATTTCAATTATCTGATAATTACTTCATGGGTTGTTGCCCTTTCTTTTACCTGGAAAATGCCCAATGTTCTGAGTATAATTGGCTGACAAAACAATTATATCAAGATAGGATTATCCACGAAAAAAGATGACCAGGTCCTGCATGAAATGTTTCTTCTGAGAAAAAACACATTACACACTTTTAGTTACATCTTTCGAATCCCCAGTTGTACGTGATAATGAGTAGAGTCGCCTGTCCAACCTCAGGGGTTTTCTCCGGGTCCTCGGTTTCCTCCCACTGTTAAAGACCCCTATTGAAATAAAATTAAACCATATGTTAGTCCCTAAATGACCTAGTTTGTGTCGCGTTGACGTTAAACCTCTCTTTAGTTACATCTGCATTAAAGAAAATTGAGGCACAAGCGATGTCAGGAAATATATAGATTTTGTTAGATATTTTTTATTACAAAAAAGTACAGACTATTAACAAAAATTTCACGTTTCACATTCTACACAGCAGTGTGCTAATTGCCTTTATAGAAAAAAACACATTAATTAACATCTTCATTGTTTAAACATTTCACGTTTCACATTCTACACAGTAGTGTGCTAATTGCCTTTATAGATAAAACACAATAATTAACATCTTCATTGTTTAAAGTGAAAGTTTATAATCATAACTTACACTAAACATATCAGTATTAAAATGGTAGTATAAAATCCAATCTAGTCTCCCAGAGACAAGTTTACTGTTTGTTTCTCTGCGCTGGGGAAACGCTCCGGCCATACATCAGCCATTTTGAATGTCACATGATGTATCCTTCTGACTGACGCTTCACAAAGATCCAAGATGGCGATCCAAACTCGCGTATCTTCAGAAATTTTTGGGTATTTTACACTCATATTGCCGAATCGCTCGCTAAAAATTGTTCCAGATAAATTCATCAAATCAGCTGTTTTCGAATGAACTTTTGATGTCAAGATGTAGAGAATGTTCCAAGGATCATTAATATGTAACTCATGCGACGAATTGATGCCAGCCAGACGCCACTGTGTGAGGAGCTAAGGAACTGAATTCAGACTGATCAATGGCCGGCGTGATTCCTCAAAGAGAGAAACGAAGCCGAGATTGTATAAAATCTTAATTCACACACACTAAAATGCGGGCAAATAAAAAGAAATATATAATAGATACATATGATTACAAAACATCAATTGGATACACATGTTATATTAAATATATATCTTTACACAGATAGATTTAGTTAAATAGTTGAAAAATAGATAACGAAAAATTAATATATTGAAAATTTCAGTCAAATTACGTTCTGATTATTAATAGTTCAAAAATAGATAACGAAAAATGAATATATTGAAAATTTCAGTCAAATTACGTTATTCTGTGTGAAGTTACAACAAGAGTTTGATGTTTTAACAAAATGTAACATAGATTATTTATTATTGTAGCAATGATACTTGACAATCGAGACTAAGTCTCGATTATCCATTTTATCGTTAAAACTCTTTAATGACAGTGGCGCTCTAATCTACTTAAAATCAGAGCCATCCAGTGGCCCAGAGAGTTGTTGATTATGGGCTTGTCATGTTAATAAATGTTTAAATGATAATTTATATAATATTTGAAACCAGAAAAAAGACTCACAATAGGCAGATTTAGCTCTAAAATATGCATCTTTAAAAACACATAATGAAGTTAATTAAAATATTGACAATATTTCAAAGATTTGAAGTCAGGAAAAAGACTCACAATAGACAGATTTAGCTCTAAAATATGCATCTTTAAAAACACACAATGAAATTAATTAAAATATTGACAATATTTCAAAGATTTTTTGACATCCACTGTCAATCTGAACACATTTATTACAAACACCTAAATATCACAACCATTATATATTAAATATTATGAAATTTTACTATACATATAGCTGCTTCTTAACGCAGATTTATGTCTAAGGAATTTTAAGAAGTCTAAATAGAATCTACATGTATTGACAATGATAACTACTGTCTGTTGAAGATTTTGATCTTACAGATTTTACAGATTTAAAATGGCTAGACCTCTCTGATTTAGGTTAAATCTGTTCATTTCAATGGATTTTATGTTTCAATCTGTTTTTGTTGAAAAATGTTCAAGTATAACTGAATTTGTGACACACTGTCGACACAATAACCCCAAATTAAGCTAAAATTAGTAAACATGCAGACTGGAAAAATCTTTGTAAGAAAAATTTGATCAGAAAGAACTTACCCATCAGGAATCAAAATACATAACCCCATTCAATACTTTATCCAATCTGATTCAAACACAGATCCTATTTCGTTTCATTTTTTTATAGTTCAAAATGTCATTTTACTTGTCTTTACTACACTAGCCAATGAAACGATCTGTTACAGCGAGTTTTTGCTGTGAGGTGCACAGAACTTTGGGTAAACCACTAGAAACATAATCGCTGATTGATTAATCAATGTCTGACGTTATAAGGTCAAAAGCTGCTCATATTTAACCTGACCCGACCTTCCAGTACAACTGGTCAGGTCTTCATGTAGTTTAGGACATCAAAAGTATCAGGGGCCTGTTTCACGAAATTTTAACTAAGATAAAATCCAAATTTTAGTAATTTGATTGGATAATATTAGATTGATTTTAGTGCTTAACCAATCAAAATTGAAGTATCTACTAAAATTTGGATTTTATCTTTAGTTAAGATTTCGAGAAACAGAGCCCTGTATTTAAGTCAGATTGTACTTTAATTTATCATAACCTAAATCCAAGAGGGTTAGCTCATTCATGATTGGGAATAACATACAAAAATCTTGACACTATTACTAACAAAGTTAATCTCCATGATGTGCCCGATCTAACTGAAGGCTGATTTTCTCATATGGTAAGAAAGGGTAAAAGAGTTAAACTGAGTTATTCATCAAATAATATGTGTCCAGAAAATGAAGAATAATCATTCATAAGTGCTGAATCTTTGCTGAGTTGTACCCACACATGCTCATCTACCGTTAATTCTAATATAATAGTATTACTACCTGTACCATACCCAGCACGACCATCCCCATGTAAAGGTAATTTATGGTTTTTGTTTACCATCATCCAAGCATAAGCGTCTATTTTATTCTGGCCTAGGATGTGTGTCGTAAATAGATAAGTTCCGTTATGCTTACAAATAAAATGAGATGTGTAGGGGTCAAAACTCTCTCCAAGATTCAGGTGAACTCGATCGAATGTCACAGCAGTGTCTTGAAGTACTGGTCCCAGTTTAGTGCTGCGACTCGCGGAGAAGGCAATCTTAGGTGGTTGAGCACCCTGATCTCCCTTTTCTCCCTTCTCGCCTTTAGTACCTGCATAGCCTCTAGAACCAGGATCACCTTTCAAGCCTTGCTTACCTTGGGGACCCTGAGGTCCTTTTGATCCTTTACGACCTCGCTCACCTTTCGGACCAACTGGACCAGCGATTCCTGGTGCCCCTGTGAGATACAATAAAACAAAATGTGTGAAGCTATCATCATTGCTAATCTTGGATAGTTGGCCATTTATATCTTGATTAAAAAAAAATTTCTCAAAGATGTGTTATTACTTTATAAGTTAGCTTACACTTTCGCTAAAATACCAAATTTCTCGCGGCTTACTACAGGATAAATATGTTGGCTACTCAGATTGATTATTTAAGATTTAGCTACGAAAACAAAATCCAAACATCAACACTAAATAATCTCCCGACTTGAATTCAATCGGATTTAAACTTGGACCATCAAGCTTCTTAGATACTGATAGGCGCAAGCAGTATGGATTGATGAAATTTCAATTTAATGTTAGGGGGTGGATGACTGAATGGTTAGCACATGCGCGCTGTATCATAAGGTCTGTCATTGAGTCAACTGGCGTGGTTTTGATTCCCCGGTTGTACGTGAGAAGGGGTAGGGTCACCTGTCCAACCTCATGGAATTTCTCCGGGTCGTTCGGTTTCCTCCCATTGCTAAAGACACCTATGCACAAAGGAATTATTGAAATGAAATTGAACCATTTGTTAGTCCTAAAAATTGAGATGACCTTAAATATATTTAGCTGCCTCAATTCTTTAATTGATATGCCAGGAATTGTGTTGAAAAGCAGTTTTATACAAAAATGTAATAAACTGAAACATGTTACATTACCGTACCGGTATTTGTTTATTTTGCCTCAGGTGTACGAAAAGAGATTCTTTTGTATTTGATCCACAGATAAGTTCACATATTGTCGGTGAAGTGTCAAAAGGGTGTATCTAAGAATTTCTAAAGATTAAGAAATAGAACCTTTTGCATTTCAAAATTTCCACAAATCAAGATACAACAATTGGACACGTGATACCCAGAACAGTTCTAATTTGACTAATTTCCCGAGATACACCGTTTTGACACTTCACCGACGATATGTGAACTTATCCAACATTTTTGTATGTTATTGTTTTACTGGACTCACCTGTCATTCCTTCAGAGCCTTTGTCACCTTTGGAACCTGTTTCACCTTTATGACCATCCATTCCTCTTGTTCCTGGTTGTCCATGTAAACCTGGCATACCTTGTACTCCTGGTATCCCCCGACAACATTCATTACACTTGTTGGTATTACCTTTACTAGTATAGTATGATTGCCCGTCTGCTGTTAGGTAGGTGGATAGTACCACCATAACTACTACAGTATTCTTCATATTCACAACAATCTAACAAGAAAGAAAAAAAATATTTGAAAATTTTGTATGCCACAAAATAATAATCAGAGGAGAGAGAGTTTAACGTCCACTTGACACAAAGTAGGTCATTTTGGGACTAACATATGGTTCAATTTTATTTCAATAATTCGCTTGCAGTGGGAGGAAACCGAAGTACCCAGAGAAAACCCACAAGGTTGGACCGGCGACCATACTCCTTGATACATACAGTTGGGGAATTGAAACCACACAATGACAAACCTTATGATACAAAGCGCACGCGCTAACCATTCCGCTATGCAACCCACCAAAGGTAGATAAACTTTGACCTAAAATGTTCCTTTTTATACGCCCACATAGAAATGTGGACTAATATTGCTGTCGGTCCGTCCGTCAGTCCGTCTGTCCATCGTCCACAATTTCTTGTGAACGCTCTATGTTGTTTGCCTTAGTGAGATGAAGAAGCCTATTTAATTTCAATAATTTCCGTTTATTATGCCAAAAGTTAACATCTGATCTTTGTGAAATTTATTTGTAATATTTAAATTAGGGAAACGAAGAGGCCTATTGAATTTCAACAATTTCCGTCTATTACTTCTAGAGTTATGGCCCTTGTTTCATTTTGTTTAACCTTGTGAACGCTTTAACGGCAAAAGTTATCATCTTATCTTATATGCATTATTTAAATTAGCGAAACGAAGAAGCTTATTGAATTTCAGCAATTTCCGTTTATTACGTCTAGAGTTATTGCCCTTGTTTCACTTTATTGAACCTTGTGAACGCTTTAACGGCAAAAGTTATCACTCAATCTTTGTGAAATTTATATGCATGATTTAAATTAGTGAAACGAAGAAGCCTATTTAATTTCAATAATTTCTGTTCATTACGTCTAGAGTTATGGCCCTTGTTTAACTTTATTAAACATTGTGAACGCATCTGATCTTTCTGAAATTTATATGCAATATTTAAATTAGTGAAACAAAGAATCCTATTGAATTTCAGCAATTTCCATTTATTACGTCTAGGTTATGGCCCAATTTCACTTTATTGAACCTTGTGAACGCTCTAACATCAAAAATTATCTGCCGATCTGTATGAAATTTGCATGCGTCATTTAAATTAGTAAAGAGAAGAATCCTATTGAATTTCAGCAATTTCCATACATTACTGCTAGAATTATGGCCCTAGTTTCACTTTATTGAACCATGTGAACGCTCTAACATCAAAAGTTTTCTGCCGATCATTTAAATTAGTAAAGAGAAGAATCCTGCTGAATTTCATCAATTTCCATATATTACTTCTAGAGTTATGGACCTTGTTTCACTTTGTTCAATCTTGTTAATGCTCGATTGATGAAAGTTATCATCCGATATGTATAAAATTTATATGCATCATTTAAATTTGTGAAACAGAGGTCTATTGAATTTCAGCAATTTCCGTCAATAATTTCTAGAGTTATGGCGGTTGTAAACCTTGTGACAAAAGTGATCATCTAATCTGTATGAATCTGTATATGCATTATTTAAATTAGTAAAATGAAAAAGCCTGTCAAATTTCAACAATTTGTGTAGATTACTTCCAGAGTTGAGACCCTTGTTTCAGTTTGTAGAACTTTGGGAACCCTCAAACGGCAAAAATTATAATCTGATCTGTGTGGAACTGTCTTGTAAAGGCCCCCAATTACCTACCTACAAAGGAATAAATATGCGACAACCCCTGTCGATCGCTCGGAAGATTTAGCTGCTGTGGGCGTATGTTGCATTGCCTAGCAACCTATCTTGTATTTTGGTAGTAGCTAAGGTATTTGAAAGTATAATATATCTAGTTTGGTAGTAGCTACAGTATTTTTAAAGTGTAATATATCTATTTTGGTAGTAGCTACAATATTTGAAAGTGTTATATATCTATTTTGGTAGTAGCTAAGGCAAGTTAAACCGATATTCCGTGTACACATTGGTGTGAACTTAAAATATCCCTTGACAGTTGAAATATGATAAAAGAGTAGGTCATAGTGCCACTGTCTGGGCAAAATTTCCCTTATAGCACACTGTATGGCGTTCTGCCTGTCTTAATTAGCCCAGTCGGAGCAGAACAGTAGAACGTTAAACCCCATTTCAGTTCTATTTACTAATTGTAATCTAACCCAGCAGAACACCACTTTATTTGTGCTAAACTCAAAGAAAATCTGCTGGTTGAAAAGATTTCAAGATTATTTCTGTAATAGTCATGTTTTAGTGCAGTTTGATATTATTTTCCTAATTGATCTAATACTCAATGACAAGAGACTCAGACAGAATTATTTTCCTTTCTATAATCAGTTGATAACAGTATTGTATTTCATGTTCTGTGCTCAAGACATTTTTGTCTGTTAACAAGTCGCCGTAACAGGTTGTTTCATTGGCTAATCCCTCAAGCCATTCAGAATGCAGGTTATATAACAACTCTTCCAGATCCTAGTGTAGTACAGACGAAACGAAATTTTGAACTATAAAAAATGCAACGAAATTGGATCTGTGTTTTAATCAGATTGTTTTGTGCTGATAACAAGACAAACATTCCAACAATTGTAATGGATAATTTTATTGTTACCTTAAATTTTATTTGTAATGCAATATCATATTTTGCATGCTTGATATTATTCCGACCCTTTCCTCTGTCATTGAGTCGACTGGCGTGGTTTCGAATCCCTGGTTGTACTTGACTAGGAGTAGGGTCACCTGTCCAACCTCGTGGGTTTTTCCGGGTCCTCCGGTTTCCTCCCACTGCTAAAGACCCCTATGCGGAAGCGAATTATTGAAATAAAATTAAACCATATGTTAGTCCTGAAATGACCTATTTTGTGTCGATTGGACATTGAACCCCATTTCTCTCTCTCTCTTTAAATTTCGTTTTTGCGTCTACCATATAGGCCTATTGTTATTTTCAGAATCTGAATCACTGATAGAATTTTCATTTTGTAAGAGGAGTTTACATCAGATTTTTTCTTGTCTTTGAAAAGAATTGTCGGTCATTTTGATTCTTTCCCTTTATTTTTTTTTAAGACAAAACAAAACATCAAATAATCAGTGCTTGGATTAACTATTAGGAGTAAATAATGACTTTATCATTGGCAATTATCACTTAACTAAAACCATTAATCCAGGACGATTGATTAGTATAACTCACTGACACGTCCCAGATTATCAGCTAGTTGATTAATTTATAGTCTGACACTCAACGTAATGATCAGTCTGGGATAAATACAATTAGAATTTTAAGATTTGTTTTCTGTCTGCAATATCACATTGGTGGAAGTGGACGTAAAATACGACTAACTCACATACACAAGATTTGTTTTCTGCCACTACTCAAAAAGAGTCGCAAGTACCCCAAAAACTTATTTCCAAAACCAAACTTGAATTGCCACTTTTATTTTATTTGTCGCAAATTGCGACTCTGGCGACCGACAAAGTGAGCCCTGGAGAGAACTATGAAGAGTTTTGACTGTATACCAATCATTTTCATAAAGCTGTTGATTCTTGATTGTCTTTTTCATTTTTCAGACAATATCATAGTTTTTACATCTTAACCCTTAAGACCGTTAGGGCTATTGAGTCTAGTATATAGGCCTAACGTCATTCAGGACGTCGGTGTCCAAAGGGTTAATCAGATTAAAAAAAGAAGCCCATCAAATTTATTTAGCTAAGATATAGGGCACTTGCTTGTTTATATATGGGTTAAAGATTGGTCAAACAGCCTTGAAAAATCAATCAAAATTGAGCAATTTATATAGTTGTTATTTTGACCTAAGTGAAGTTTGGCCGTTTTGATTCCCGTTCCTCGATTTTATCCTGTTTAATTGTCTGCATAGGATGTGAAATATTATTAAATTTTCAATTCATCGAATTATTCAACGATTTTAGAAAAGTATAAAATTTAATTTTGTAAAATGACAATCTTACAGATGTATTATGTAAGAGCTAAATCTGCAAATTGCAGGTCGTTTTTGGCATCAAATGTAATACAAACTGTCATTTAGACATTTATTAACATGACAAGCCCATATTCTACTGTCCAGACCATCGGTTAGCAGAGATTTAATAGGATTAGAAAGTCTGTAAGATTTGAAAATTAAAGATAAACAAATAATCGAGATTGAGTCTCGTTTTACCAGTATTTTAAAAATATTTTGAGAATAAATATTAAATACTGCTTGTGTTATTGGATAGGACTGTCAAAAAATATTGCTTTATCGATATATTGCAATACTTTCCTCCGCGATACATTTTTGCCATATCAATATTTTTCTACTTTTATTTTATATTCAAATGTTAGCTAGAATGTTTATAAAGACTTCATAATCAGTCATATTATTCACGCTTTGCAGTAAACAATAAGTCTGCAAAGACAAGACCAAAGTTGTAAAATCATATAAAAAGAAAAATCAGTCATATTATAGACTTTGTTGTAAAAACAATAAAACTATGTTTTGTGATAAACCCTGACTTTATGGAAGTATTGCAATATTGCAATATATATTGAAATACTTTTTATGAAGTATTGCAATATATTGCAATTACGATTTTTGGCAGCAATATACAGCCCTATTACTGGATCTTTGTGCATTATTGTAAATTGATGTTTCAGTTTGTTTCGTTATTGGATATGAAAATTGATGAAAAGAATATGGTTGTATGGTGATAAAGAGAGTAAATCACTTCACAACATCACGATTTACTTGTAATTGTTGAATGTTTATATTTACATCTACTTCGATCATAAATTGATTTTATGGACATAAGATCATTAATCTCTTTAAATTTTGAGATTTCTTTTTATACGCCCATATTTTCATGTCGGCGTATTATGCTGTCGCCCATGTCCGTTCACAATTTGTTTGTGGACACTCTAAATTGATTGGATGGAGATAAGATCATTAATCTTCTTGAATATTGTGATTTCTTTTTTTACTCATGGATATACTTTACGTTATAAATAAAATGAAATGAAATGGAGTTTAAAGGGACAATAACACTCTTGCTGGCTTGACAGCTCCAGAAAATAAATAATAGCCTTATTCTAAGTATTAGATGTTTAATAAGTGTCCTACCTGTTGTGTAAATTATCCATTACATCCTATTTTACTTGTCAAGAGGGTTCGAAAATATTTTTAAATCCAAGTCACATTTGAAAAGGTTTACGTTAGGCTTTTCAAATCATTTAGTTGAATTTTTCCAATTTTTTAAATTCGATGTGTTAAGATGAAATTTGTATCATCAATTAATTGGAATATTGTAAAATAGTACAATTTGTTGTCTAGAATAAAGATTGAGACATTATTCAGTTACAACAAGAGTGGTATTGAGCCTTTAACGTTCTACTGTTCTGCTCCAATTTGGCTAACGAAGACAGGTTTACCGGTAGGTATATATCAGATAGAGTCTGACTGCCTAAAATGTTGCCTTTCACTATCAAATTTGGTTGATTACTTTTAATGACTTTGAAGAATGTCTCATTTTTGTACACCCACACTTCATGTAAGAGCTTCTAGTCATCACCCTTACCCATCGATCAATTCTTGTAAACACTATATACATGAACAGATCTGATTTTGTTCAAAATTACTGAAGTTCACAGTTTTGCAATAAATTTTTGCAGAGGTACTGTCGCGGTGGCCAAAGCCTTGTACAGGTCAGAGTTTGTTTTTTCTTTTTAAGATTTTGTAAAAAAAAATATGTTTGGATAGTTAAGTTAGTCAAAATCTGCTAGTCCTACAGAGTTTTGCATAGATTTATTGCCCTGACCTTTAAAATGTATAAATTCTTGAAAAATGTCGCTTTAATCTTCATGTAAATAAAAAATGACAGTTTTTCTACCAATCTGTGAAAAATGAAATTTATTTAAACTGATCACCTCGGTACTTTGTCCTGCAAGATTTAACCTTAAGCTTTTATACTTGTACACTTACGTTAATAACAAAAAGCTCATAAAATTTGGGTGGTTGGGTGGCCGAATGGTTAGTGTGTGAGCATTGTATCATAAGGTCTGTCATTGAGTCAACTGGCATGATTTCGCCTACAGGTCCAACCTCATGGTTTTTCTCCCGAAATGACATAGTTTATGTCGAATGGACGTAAAACCCACTTCTGTTATATAACAAAAGAATCCCAGCATCGTGTCTGTGATGAAAAAATGTTAAAGTTTCTGTTATGTCGTGGGTGGAAGTGCTGAATTTAGATATTTCTGAACTGGGCTTCAAGATCTTAACAATTCCTACGCAATCAGAGATTTCAGTTCACTGTGATTCTGTTTCTCACCCACCACCTATTACACGAATTAAATGTAGAAATAATCGATGTATATAGGTTTAGTACAAGATGGGCAAACGGATCAGGGGGATTGGATTGCCGAATGGTTAGCGTGTGTGCGTTGTATCATAAGGTCTGTCATTGAGTCAACTGGCATGGTTTCAATTCCCTAGTTGTATGTGACAAGGAGTAGTGTCACCTGTCCAACCTCGTGGATTTTCTCTGGGTCCTCCAGTTTTCTCCCATTGCTATATAAAACTGAATTATTGAAATAAAACTGAACCATGTGTTAGTCCCAAAATGACCCAATTTGTGTCGAGTAGGGGTTAAACCCCATCTCTCTCTCTCTCTCTCTCTCTTTCTCTCTTTCTCTGATCATTGAATGATCCATTCTTTTTAATTAAATGTGGTAAGATCTAAAATTACAAAAAATAATAACCTATAGAAATTTATCTTACCTTATGTTAAAGTTTCTTTGTCGGAAGAAAATAGAGAATTTTATCCTGTGAAAACAAGTACAAGTTTTAATCGCAGCTTGATAATGTATCTATAAAGTCTATGTCCAGCCTGTCGATAACTCTAGGTAAAAATACCCATATTTGGCTTTCATAACTTATATAGCTACTGGATACAGCTAAATGACCATTCAGAAATCAATTAACACTGTGTGATGGAAATGATAACAAAACACAAGGAAGGAGACAAAGTTTGAGAACTAACTGTGAATCTGCGACTCCTCACCAATCATAAGTGAGAAGAAACCATTTGATGAAATATTGAGCTGTTTTTCCTTAGGGTAATCCATTATCTGTTAATTGGACCAATCCAGGATAGTTTTTCTTGAAGCTGTGTAATATGAATGGCATTATTTACTTTGTTACTCTTAAAATGTCTGCATATCTTTAAGATATGCAGGAAGATCTGATGTTAAACTCTATTTTCATTTTTAACAATTTTATTTTACTTTATTTTCTTGACATACACAGAAAAGTCTGACATTAAACTCCAATTTCATTTAAAATACATTTAATTTTACTTCATTTTCATGACATTGTCATCTAAAATATCTGCATATCTTAGAAAAATATGACGTTAAACTCCATTTTCATTTGAAATACAAAATTTTTTACTTTATTTCCATAACATTAAACTCTTAATTTAATTTAAAATACAATTTTTTTAAAAATATGATGTTAAACCCCATTTTCATTTAAAAATTGAATTTTTTTTACTGTATTTTCATGACATTGTCACCTAAAATATCTGCATATCTTAGAAAAATATGACGTTAAACTCCATTTTCATTTAAAATACAAAATTTTTTTTCGTATTTTTCCATACTGTCAACTAAAATATGTGCATATCTTAAAAGATATGCAAATATATATATATTAGGTGACAATGTCATGAAAATAAGGTAAAAAAAAATTGAATTTTTAAATGAAAAGGGGGTTTAAAGTCAGACTTTTCTGTGTATATCAAGAAAATAGAGTAAAGAAAATTGTATTTTAAATGAAAATGGAGTTTAATGTCAGATATTTCGGTGTATCTTAAACCCCCTTTTCATTTAAAAATTCAAATTTTTTTTACCTTATTTTCATGACATTGTCACCTAATATATATATATTTGCATATCTTTTAAGATGCACAGAAAAGTCTGGCGTTAAACTCCCCCTTCATTTATAATACAATTATTTATTTATTTTTATATTTTTTTACTTTATTATTTTTTTTTTTTTTACTGTATTTTCATAACATTGTCAGCTAATATATTCTATTGGTTTATTTTTATTTAGAATAATCAAACTATAACCCTATTGAAACTAAAGGAAAAATGTTAATGAAATTCAATTTCCAAATCCTTTGATGAATTATTCCACAACAGAGCAAGAATATGCAGTCCCTAGAAAGTTAGAAATAAGTAAAATTTCAAAGTAATTCTTACAAGAAATTTATAAGCATTATCTAAATTTCAACAATTTTTGTATATTACTTCTAGAGTTAAGTTCTTTTATCAGTTTGTAAAACGTTGTGAACCTTCAAACGACAAAAATTATAATCTGATCTGTTTGGAATTGTTTTGTAAATGCCCCTAATTACCTGCAAAAGAATAAATATACAACATTTGTCATCCGCTCGGGCGATTTAGCTTCTGTTGGCGTATGTGTGTTGTTGCCTGGCAACCTATCTTTTCTTTATGAAAGATATATCTGCCTTTGTATATATTTTAGAATACTGATCCAAAACATCCTGTGTTTTCTGAATGTGTTAATAAAATTGTCACTTCCATGGTGATGTGGGGATCACTGTGGCTAAGTGGGTATAATTAGACACTGGCTCGCTAGTCTGGAGGTCACATGTTTGATCCCTGCATTGGCTGAGAAAGTTGATCCAGATTTTCCAGCGTGGTTCCCCCTTGTCACTGATGCAGGATGGAGGGCCTGACAAGGACAGCTGTCTAATCGTTCGGATGGGACAAAAAAACGAGGTCCTGTGTACACATTTGCATGCACGTAAAAGATCCCTTGACAGTTGGAATTTGATATAAGAGTAGGCCATAGTGCATCTGCCCGGGCAAAATTTCCCTCATAGCACACTGTATGGCGTATGCCCATCTTCATTAGCCCAGTTCGGAGCAGAACAGTAGGACGTTAAACCCCATTTCATTTCCATGGTGATGTGTTAATTGAGATCTATGTAAATGATTAGTTTGATATTTTGTTTACCAGTACATGGTTTGTTTAATCAGTGCTAGGAAGAACTAGAAGCTTGTCAAATGTTTATTATTTTGGGATAATTACTTAATGGTTAATACTGGCCTTGCCATAACCTAAAAATAAATAAAGATGCAAAATATATTATGGAGTGTTCTGTGAATATTTTGTCTTGGTTTTAGAAATCTAAGTCAACTAACTTAGTCAGAACAATCAAGCATTTATGGTATATGTCCACTGGCTAGTCACAGGTTAATAATTTAAGCCCACAAAACTAAGATTCAGTTTGTACTCTTTTATGATTTTGGAATTATGTATTTGCTGTCTGTCTGTACATTGGTTCAGCTTTTTTGTTGTGTTTAGTTCTTTATATGGTTTGTATTTATGCTGCATGATTTTACATTATTCCTTTTACAAGCAAGGGGGTTGGATGGCCGAATGGTTAGCACGTGCTATAATACGCACAATCTGATTAAAACACAGATCCTATTTCATTTCGTTTTTTATAGTTCAAAATTTCATTTTACTTGTCTTTACTACACTAAGAGATGTTATATTACCGGCGTTTTGGTTGAAGTTAGGGATAAGCCAATGAAACAGTCTGTTACCACTAGAAACGCCAACAGTGATTGATTAATCAATGTCTGACGTCATAGAGTCAAAAGCCACTTGTACGACCCCTGACACGACCTTCGAGTACAACTTGTCAGATCTTCATGTAGTGTAAGCCATCGATTGTATTACAAGATGATATAATATACCATCTTTAAACCCAAATACTCCAACAGTAACAGTAAGATGCCATCTCCTTCGATATCACATTTATTTTATACTTGGGGGTGTGGGTGGATGGCCGAATGGTTATCGCGTAGTATCATAAGGTCTGTCATTGAGTCAACTGGTGTGGTTTTGATTCCAAGGTTGGACGTGACAAGGAGTAGGGTCATCTATCCAACCTCGTGGGTTTTCTCTGGGTCCTCCGGTTTCCTCCCACTGGTAAAGACCCCTACGTACAAATGAATTATTGAAATTTAATTGAACTAATGTTAGTCCATCTTCATTAGCCCAGTCAGGAGCAGAACAGTACAATGTTAAACCCCATTGCATTTCAGTACCTGACATTTTAAACTTTGTGCTATTAAAGATATCAGTAATAACACTGAAAAAAAATGCAAATCTATGCCGGACAAAGTGACAAGCACCATAGGTTTAGTGCCTGATAAATTCTGAATTTGTGCCTGACATTGTCTGTGACAGGTACCTTATTTCCAGGCTTATTAAAGATACATTATGTAAGATTTAGATAAAGAGCTAGCCATTCTTACTGACTTAGTGCGAAATAGATAATGTAAAATGAATAATTTGAAAATGTCATTCCAATTACTCTATTGCGATCGAAGATATTAGCCTTTGAAGGTTTGACAAGACGTGTGCAATAATTTGAACCACCGTACTGGTTGTTCGAAGCTAAGTCTCGCTCTTCCATTTTTAGATTAAATCAAAATATGGCTGAAGCGTTCTAATCTATTTAATATCGGAGAAATTTTATGCCATCGCGAGTTGATTATGGTCTGGATTTGTTAATTAATGTCTAATTAATAATTTAGATAACATTTCAAGACTAAAATGTATGTTTTTGCATAATGTTTTTGCATAATGTATGTTTAAAACAGAATAAAATCCAAAGTTGTGTACAATGCAGTCTTTTAATCTCACTGTGTTCGGCAATACTCAGTCATGAGAAACTCATAAGTTCAATAATGTGATGTAAAATTGATGAAAGATATAAATTTGATCAAACTAACTATGCACTTCGTTACCCTAGCCCCCCACACATATAACAAATATTAAACCTAAACAAAGACATTTTCTCATAATCAGACAAAGTGACATTTGATGAAGTGATTTGTCAAAAAGTCTGATTGCAACATGAAGCCTCTCTTGATGACATCTGTTCACTTCAGACCAGAATTTTAACAAGCTGGTCTTTGTATTCTTTCAGATCTCATGGAATTTGGTTTTCCTCCATGACATTTGCTTTTGCTATGAGACTTTAATGTGTTTTAAGAAAGTCTGAGAAATGACAATGAAGCCAGCAGTCTTCTTTGTTTTTGGAAAAGCCTTAAATGCTTATTGAATTTTGGCCGCAAGACTGATCTCGGAATCTGTTTATTCTTAATTATATGAAAAAAAGTTGAAACTGTCTTCAATATCTGACTTGTCATGAAGTGTGAAAAATTGAGGTCTTTTGAGAATATTAATTGAAGCAAAACTCTCATTTCCTTTCACTTGTATAATGTTTCTTGAGTATCATGATTTTTTTCAACATTATTTAATGTCGTTTTCTGCGGTTGTTTGATAAAACAATATTTCTCGGAAATCATTGAGGGTTTTTTTTTTCAACAAGAAGTATAATTGTATTGATTAACTTTAACTGATCATCATTGCATCCATTTTAATTTAAAATTACAAATGGTGGTCTTATTTTCAATTCAGGTCACTGTTTCCCATTTTCTTTTTGTCTGATTTCTGTTCCTTAGATCTTTAGCTATGGAAATTTGATGAGTAATTAGAAAAAGTTGCATGCTTTGAAACTTGACCGTGCTATTCAGTCTTCGCTGCCGTTATTAATTAGAATACCCTTCAAAAGGAGATCATTAAGTGATGTTGAAAAATTCCAGGCAACCAAAATGAAACAAGCCATGTTATGTGTAATGAGTATTTAAATTAATATTTGTCAAATTTTAAGCCGAAGATTGGATAATGGTGTGCGAGTTAATGAGACGTAATCATGTTGTATTTTTCAGGGCTTCTGTTAAAGACATTGACTATAATCCTAAAAACTCTAAATACCATCCTATTGATGATGCTTGTTGGAAACACAAAGAAAAGTAAGAAACACATTCTATGGTTTATATATCTAAATATGATAATAAAACACATTGTATTTTTTTTATATAATATATAAATACAATATATGGTAATAGCACACATTGTATGGTTTATGTATCTAAATAAATACAATATATGGTGGGGATCATGTGGCTAAGTGGGTAAGACGCTGACTTGCTAGCCTGGAGGTCGGGTGTTCGATCCCTGCATTGGCCGAGAAAGGTCATCCAGATTTTCCGGCGTGGTTCCACCTTATCAGTGATGCAGGACGAAGAGCCTGACAAGGACAGCTGTCTACTCGTTCGGATGGGACGAAAAACCGAGGTCCTGTGTACACATTGGCGTGCACGTAAAAGATCCCTTGACAGTTGGAATTTGAAATAAGAGTAGGCCGTAGTTCCGCTATCCGGGCACAATTTCACTCATAGCACACTGTATGGCGTATGCCCGTCTTCATTAACCCAGTTCAGAGCAGAACAGTATGGTTTATATATCTAACTACAATATATGGCAATAACACGTTGTATGGTTTATATATCTAAATAAATACAATATATGGTAATAAAACAATATGCAACACACTAATTGGTCCAGATTTTTTTCCAAGAACATTTAATAACTTTTGTAATTTAATTTGTCTGACTACTGATAGAATGTTTTAGTGTGTATGTCTTGATATGTTCTTGAATTATGTTATTCCAGGGTACCTTATCTTGCCTTGGCAAAAACCTTTGAAGCAATTGAAGACACTTCAGCCAGGTAACATATTATGATTATTAATTGTACATTTTAGTTCACTGGTCAACCATTCCAGTATCAGGACTTTATTTTCTACATTGATCTGTATTTTGAGTTGAATTTATAACTTGATTCTTTAACCTTTCAAAATAGATTCTGTATTTATAGGGGGTTGGATGGCCTTATAGTTAGCGCGTGCACCCTGTATCATAAGGCCCGTCATTGAATCAACTGGCGTGGTTTCGAATCCCCTGTTGTACATGACGAGTAGGGTCGCCTCTCCAACCTCGTGGGTTTTCTCCGGGTCCTCCGGTTTCCTCCCACTGCTAAAGACCCCTATGGCAAACGAATTATTGAAATAAAATTAAACCATATGTTAGTCCTGAAATGACCTAGTTTGTGTCGAGTGGACGTTAAATCCCATTTTTCGTTCTCTCTCTTATTCTATAATGTTATTAGTATAAGAACAATAACTTGGTATCCTAATTGTATAAATCTCATTAAAATAATTTGATGAATAGTTCTCTTAAAATTATATATTGATCATAAATAATAAAGACATCTATATTGTCAGTACATATAATTATAATGATAATATGCTCTATATTGTCATTACATTGTCAGTATCATATAATGATAATAAAGACATCTATATTGTTAGTATTATAATGATAATATGCTCTATATTGTCAGTGCTTATCATTGTAATGATAATATGCTCTATATTGTCATTAAATATTATATTATAATGATAATATGCTCTATATTGTCAGTACATATCTTTATAATGATAATATGCTCTATATTGCAGATTAAAGATGATAGAAATATTAAGTAATTTTCTGCGTTCTGTGATTGTTTTAAGTCCTGATGATCTGTTGTGTTGTATTTATCTATGTTTAAATCAACTGGCACCTGCCTATGAAGGATTAGAATTAGGTGTTGGTGATACAGTATTAATGAGAGCTATAGCTCAAACTACAGGTAAACCACCTTCATTTAAATTTTAGCCATTCCACATTATTCCCCCAATTAGATACTATTAGACAAGAAATTAATGCCTTAAGTTCTGTTCCTGAATTCACAAAGCATTTTCAGACATAGGCTAAGAATTTACTCAAAATTATTTGCCTTAGGCCTACCGATCAAGGCTATTTCTCATAAATAGTGATTGAAAGTTCAGTAAATTCTTAGCTTCAGTCTAATAATGCTTTGTGAACTCAGGGCCTGGTGTGCCATTTGCATTTTTCGTTAAGATATCAAATCTCTCATGTCTTAATCCAAACTGATATTATATTCAGATTGATTATTTAACATTTGATTAAAGAAAACAAAATTAAAATACCAAAGTTAGATAATGTCCCAGCTTGGATTCAATCAGATTTTTAAAAAAGTCCTATCAATAAACCTAAAAAAGACAAATCAGTGCCGGACAAAATAACAGGCCCCAGAGGTTTTGTGCCTGACAGTGTCAGTATGTGACGGGTGCCTTATTTCCAGGCTAAGTAGGGTATGATCTACGGTGGAACGCATCAATAATTATTTTGGTTGTGGGCATGTGGCACGTTTTGCTTACTCTTATTCCACTTCTTTTGAAGTAGTGGGTTTACTCCGGGTCCTTTGGTTTCCTCCCACTGCTAAAGAACCATGTGTTAGTCCCGAAATGGTGGGGTTGGATGGCCGAATGGTTAGCACATGTGCGCTGTGCTGTATCATACGGTCTGTCATTGAGTCAACTGGCGTGGTTTTGATTCCCTGGTTGTACGTGACAAGGAGTAGGGTCGCCTGTCCAACCTCATGGGTTTTCTCTGGGTCCTCAGGTTTCCTCCCACTGGTAAAGACCCCTACGCGCAAGCGAATTATTGAAATAAAAAAAAATTAAACCATATTAGTCCCGAAGTGACCTAGTTTGCGTCTAGTGGACGTCAAACCCTATTTCTCTCTCTCTCTCTGTCACTTCTTTTGAAGTAAAGCTTATTGCCTATTTACATAATATGTGGGTGTACATGTAAAAAAAAAAAGGTAAAATTAAACGAAAGCATGTCAAAAGCAAAATAAATTCTGGTGTAGAATTTGTTCTTTTTTTAACCTATAATTATTATAATATGAACTGGAGAGAAAATGTCTACAAAGGTTATATTGATTTCTTGAAAATACCAAGTAGTAAACATTGAAATCCTGGTCAGATGGGTCAACTGGATGGATTAATATGTTGATATTTTGATTAATTAACTGTTATCTTGCTTATTCCTCAGTAAATACTCTTGTCACGTTCAAAGGGTTAATCAATCTGTGTAAGGCCAGCGAGAATAAACAGATTTATATTATTATGATATTGATCCGTTTTATGTCCATCTTGTAGTCTTCTTCCGTCTGCTGTCAACATACAGACGAGATTTCATACTTGTTTATCACATAGTTGTTATAGTACAAAATTACTCTAGTCTGCATCACATAGTTTACAAAATTACTCTGTTCAATCCTGGCCAATACTACACACCAAAAAAAAAAAATTCCGAAAGATACTGAAAAATCACCGAAAAATGTGGGAAAAAAATTTTGATACTAATTACCGAATAAATCTGAAAAACCCTAAATACCGAAAAAACAACACTACCAAAAAAAAAAACCCCTGAAATACGGAAAAATTAGGTACCCCAGTGAGAGCTCAGATCGTGTCCCGGGGTGTCCTACTGATAGTTAGGTGCACCAATGAGCCAATATACAGTATTTCGGCATATAGTGTTTTTTTCTGTAATTAGTATTGTTTTTTGGGTATTTAGGGTTTTTCAGTAAAGGGGGGGGGGCAGTATTTTTGGTGTATACGTGTTATATGTGTAGTACAGTTGCTCTGTCCTAGTCACAAAATCATTATGTCCTCGTCCCATCGGTTACAAAATGCACTTTTAAAACAAAAAATTTAGATTGTCATTATTGATTAAATTTTAGTTTACATTAATTTCCCATAATGTAATAAAAGTTTTATCAGATACAGTACCCACAGAAACTGCTCCCTCCAACAAAAATTTTTGTAAATCAAGTTGGAAATTAATACCAATATCTAAAGAGAATATTTTTTTCTGCACGATTTGACAGATCTTTCTGATAATTAAATATCAAGACTAAAAATGTGATTTGTAATCTCTGTGAGTGTGGGTTGGAGACAGTATTTTTTATTGAATATTATTAAAACAATTATTCTGGTCATGAAAAATTATTCTGGTAATTATGAAGAATTATTCTGATTATGAGGAGATGCCTTTTTTACCAAAATTATGCATAATATCTTTAATTATATTCGCATCAATGGCAGACTAGTTTAACACATTCGCTGTTAGATCATAAGGTTTGTCATTGAGTTAACTGACGTGGGTTCGATTCCCCAGTTGTACATGATATGGAGTAAGGTCACCTGGCCAACCACGTGGGTTGTCTCTGGTTTCTCCCACGTGCAAGCGAATTATTGAAATAAAATTGAACCATGTGTTAGTCCCGAAATGACCTAGTTTGTGTCACATGGACATTAAACCCCATTTCTTTGTTTCACTCCAATGGCTGATTGAAGTGACGTCATTTCAATTCCCGTCTTGTACTTGACAAGGGTCCCCTGTCCAAACTTGTGGGTTTTCTCCAGATCATCCAGTTTCCTCCCACAGCTAAAGATTCCTACGTGCAAGTGAATTATTAAAATAGAATTGAGCCATATGTTAGTCCAAAATTGACCTAGTTTGTGTCGAGTGGACCTTAAACACTATTTATCTCCCCCACTCCACCACACAATGTTCCAAATTCTGTGTATTTCCATAATTGTTTGATGTCATTTGCTTTGTCCATTTCTTTGAAATCCTAGGTATGTAAGAAATAATTTAATATAAAAAAAATAAATGTTTTTTTTTGTTTTTTTTTCTTTTTTTAAATTAATCCAGGAAGAAGTATGGATCATTTGAAATCAGCGTTACATGAGAAAGGTGACTTAGGATTAGTTGCTGAGGTATTTAAAATTATTTTTGAGCTTAAAAATTCAATTCAATATCCTTTCAATAATGAAAGAATTAAGAATTGCAGCTAATTGTATTTATCTTATAGGGCCAGTCTCAATTATATTTTCCAGAATAAAACTGCTTAATTTTGTGGTAAAAGCTCTTAAAATCCTCTACCTTAGGGACAAGCAAAAAATTCAATATACGTGATACGTTTTCAAATAACTTAAACTCGTCAGTTTTCATCTGGAAATGGAGACGTGGTGTCCCAAGTTGTATAATACGGTGTCTGGCGAAAACAAGACTTTTATTTTATAAAAATAACATGTAGGCCTAGCCTACAGCATGCGGGTCATGCACTGGTTAGATCTCTAAAGGAACGGTAATAGATTATCAGGTCACACTACGAAAAAATTGACTTGAAGTCTTAAAAGTGTATAGTGTCCGTCTAGATGAGCGTTTTTGACGTTCACATCCAAACAACTCAATATTTTGAGCTATATTCTTTATACAAGGTAAATACACCATTCCCCAATATTTTGGCACTTAAATTTTATTCGTACACAGACTTTTATTTCTGAGACTGTTGAAATCAGGATGGTCCCTTTAAACACTCTGATACCACTTCCCATTTATCGGAACAGTTTACATACACTCTGATACCACTTCCCATTTATTGTAACAGTTTACATAGCTAATACTATTTCAATGCACTTTTGTACCATATGCAAGCTGCATTTAATCACAGAGACTGTAAACATTACTTTCTCCAGGTCCTCCGGTTTCGTCCCACTGCTAAAGACCTCTAGGCACAAGTGAAATAAAATTGAACCAAATGTTAGTTCCAAAATGACCTAGTTTGTGTCAAGTGGAGTTGAACCCCATTTCTCTCTCTCTCTCCCCATCCTCTTTAGAAATTCATAGGAGCAGAACAGTAGGAGGTTAAACCCTATTTGATTTCATCTCTCTCTCTCTCTCTCTCTCTCTCTCTCTCTCTCTCCCCTTTTTTCTTTAAAACAGTGTCAGACATCTGTTTTTACTTTAAAATTCAAAGTTGATCTAGTTTTTTCTGGTCTATAACACAAATCAATAGAATAGCTAGACATTTAATGGCTTGTAATTGAAAATTTAAACTCGATTACAGATATTATTGGGATTTTAATTAAATAGGAATTCAAGGATAGGATAGAATTAAGTGCTTGGTTTGTTTTCTGTCATCAATCTTCGGTGTTTATGCACCAACCCTATGGAATTCCTTGTCTGGTTACTTGAGGTCTATTACGAATTGGGGGGGTTGGATGGCTGAAGGGTTAGCGTGCGTGCGCTGTATCATAAAGTCTGTCATTGAGTCGACTGGCGGGGTTTCGATTCCCCGGTTGTACGTGACAAGGAGTAGGGTCGCCTGTCCAACCTCGTGTGTTTACTCCGGGTCCTCCGGTTTCCTCCCACTGCTAAAGACCCCTATGCGCAAGCGAATTATGGAAATAAAATTGAACCATATGTTAGTCCCGAAATGACCTAGTTTGTGTCGAGTGGACGCTAACCCCCATTTCTCTCTCTCTCTCTCTATTACGAATTTGATATCTTTTTAATGCTCTTTAAAAACATATTTTTTTCGAAAATGTTATTCAACATAATGCGGTATGTCTAGTGTTCAATTAATTTTTTTACATGTTTATAAACATTATGTACAGTGGTTTGAGATTTTTAAATGTAAATCGCTATATGAAAAATTCTTTATTATTATTATAATATACAAAAAAATAATTCTGTCTTGTCATATGTTGTTTCCGGCGTGTTTTCACTTGTCAATGAGGGGGTTGGATGGCTAAATGGTTAGCGTGCTCGCGCTGTATCATAAAGTATGTCATTGAGTCGACTGGCGTGGTTTCGAATCCCCGTTTTTACGTAACAAGGAGTAGGGTCGCCTGTCCAACCTCGTGTGTTTACTCCGGGTCCTCCGGTTTCCTCCCACTGCTAAAGACCCCTATGCGCAAGCGAATTATGGAAATAAAATTAAACCATATGTTAGTCCCGAAATGACCCAGTTTGTGTCGAATGGACGTTAAACCCCATTTCTTTCTCTCCCCCCCTGAGGGCCTGACAAGGACAGCTGTCAAGTCATTCGGATTGAACGAAAAACTGAGGTCCCGTGTACACATTGGCGTGCATGTAAAAGATCCATTGGCAGTTGGAATTCAATATCAGTAGGCCGTAGTGCCGTTGTCCTGACAAAATTTTCCTCATAGCACACTGTATGGCGTATGCCCATCTTTATTAGCCCAGTTTGGAGTAGAACAGTAGTACGTTAAACCTCATTTCATTGTCATATATTGTTTTACAGAGCAGTAGAAGTACACAGAAAATGATGTTTGCTCCCCCAAAGTTAACAGTGTCTGGCGTATTTAGTAAATTAAAAGATATTGCTAATTTAACGGGAAATTCTGTAAGTAAAGAAATTGAAGAAATGTGTGATTTTCATGTTTCACATGCTGAATCTTAAACATACATTATGCAAGAGCTAAATCTGCCTATTGCAGGTCTTTCTTTAGGCCTGAAATGTTTTCTAAATTATTAATTAGACATTAATTAACTTATTCAGGCCATAATCAACTCTCAATGGCATTTGATTTCTCCGATATTAAATAGATTAGAACAGTTCAGCCATATTTTGATTTAAGCTAAAAAAAAATGGAGGCACGAGACATAGCTTCAAACAACCAGTACAAGGTTGAAACTATTGCACACATCTTGTCAAACCTTCAAAGGCTAATATCTTTGTTCACAATAGAGTAATTTGAATGAAATTTTCAAATTATTCATTTTACATTATCTATTTTTGAACTATTATAGCAAGAATGGCTAGCTCTTTATCTAAATCTTACATAATGTATCTTTAAACTGAAGGCAGCGGAGGGCCTGACAAGGACAGCTGTCTAGTCCTTCGGATGAGACAAAAAACCGAGGTCCTGTGTATACATTGGAATGCACGTAAAAGATCCCTTGGCAGTTGGAATTCAATATAAGAGTAGGCGATAGTGCCGCTGCCCTGCAAACCTAGTGGGTTTTCTCCGGGTCCTCCGGTTTCCTCCCACAGCTGAAGATCCCTATGCGCAAGCGAATTATTGAAATAAAATTGAATCATATGTCAGTCCCGAAATGACCTAATTTGTGTCGAGTGGACGTTAAACCCTATTTCTCTCTCTCTTTTAACTTTGCTATAGTGCACTGATAAATGAACCCAGTAGATCTTGACAATCAGTGAAATTGAGGTCGAAATGTTACAAGAATCACAAAAACGTAATTGCTTCTGTGGCTCCTAGCAGAAACAAAGTCTGTAATATTCACTCAGGATTTTTATTATTATTTTATTATTATTGTTCGATTTATATAGTGCTTCATTACGCACGAGTGTTTCTAAGCGCATTCACAGCAAAATAGTTCAAAAATATTTTTGAAATATGTTTTTACGTTAATCTTAAGCTCTGGATAGAAGAGGATTCTCAAAGAGTTTTTGGAAGATCATTCCACATTTTAGCTGCTCTGACGGAGAAAACATATTTACCAGAACGTTTATTATATTTAGGAATCCTCAATATGCTATGATCACTTGAAGAACGAAGGTTGGATCGCCGGGGAGTATAGAAATCAAAGAGGTCTTTTAAATAACTGGGTGCAGTGTCAGAATAAATTGGTTTAAACACATTCACAAGAGCTTTAAACCCTTACTCGAACTTAGCTGAAATATGATCAAATTTTCGTGTTCTAGTTATTTTTAAATGTGTTTTATATTACAGTCACAGTCTAAGAAAGTTGATAAAATAAAAGGATTATTTGTGGCATGTCGTCAGTCAGAAGCTAGATTTGTTATACGATCATTGTCAGGAAAACTACGTATTGGTTTAGCTGAACAATCTGTATTGACAGCGTTAGGAAATGCATCATTTTTATCTCCAACTGGTCAAGGTAAGATATATGTTTTCCTAATCCATTTTACCTAGCATTAAGTTTTATCATTCTCGACAAATATTAAAGTAGCTAAGTCTCTAACTCAATATCATCCAAAGTCTTCGACATTGGAAACACGAGTTATTTGTCAATTTAAATCAACATTGATGTTGTGATCGTACCAGGAAAAGACAAAGAAACATTTTACCATTGGTACACGAATCATGTACCATAATGCATTTTGGTGCCATTTGTAACAAGGGACTCGAAAACGAGGCCAGACATATTCCACAAGTCATGTCAAACGGTGGACTCGAATAACCAGATGCTAGAGACTGCCATTAGATTGAGACTTCTAGCGTATTTTGCAGAACATAATTGATTAGAAATTACAGTAAAAACAGAAATGATTGAATGTAAATTAGTTTATATACATTCATATTACATTATTATATACGTCGAGACCCATTTATGTCAATTGGTAGGTCCCATATATTAATAATTTAGGTCCTTTAAGCAACCACAACCGTTATCTTGTTAGAAAAGTAATGATTTAAAACAATAGCTTTTGCTAGATTCCAAATAACTATTTGATGGAAAAAATTTCAAATGTAATTCAGATATTCAACTTTTATAGAATATCCACCAGAAATATTAGATGCCGGGAAAGGTTTGGCAGCAGACACCCTGAAGAAAAAGATGGAGAATAATGCCTTGATAATTAAAACAGCCTATTGGTATGTTTTAATTTCTAATGTTCATACGCCCCTATTTAATTTGTACGAATATTATAATCACCAGCATCTGTTGATCTATTGTCAATTGAAATGCAATAAAGAATTTAGTGGGATTGTTTATTGAGGCATATGGAAGTGTACCCTGATGAAATCCAAGAGCTTTTTAATTGCACATTGAGGTGTTTATCTTATGAACCCAAGAGAATACAAGAATATTTATATTATTTCAATCACAAATATTTTTTAAACCTTTTTCTTATTGTGGGGGAGGGGGGGGGGGAATGGTTAGCACGTGTATGCGCTGTATCATAAGGTTTTTCATTGAGTCAACTTGTGTGATTTTGATTCCCCGGTTGTATGTGACAAGGAGTAGGGGCATCTGTCCAACCTCGTGGGTTTTCTCCAGGTCCTCCGGTTTCCTCCCACTCTTAAAAAAACCTGCACCATATGTTAGTCCCAAAATTACCTAGTTTGTGTCGAGTGGACATTAATCTCTCTCTCTCTCTCTCTCTCTCTATCTCTCTCATGCATTTTTCCAAGAAGCCTTATAACATATATTTGTAATTTTCAGTGAATTGCCAAGTTATGATGCTATCATCCCTGTTTTATTAAACGATGGAATTGAAGAATTGCCTAATAAATGTCGACTTACACCAGGTAACTATCTAATACATTCCCCATAGATTTCTAAGCATTTCTTCCATGCAGTGGCAGAAGAATAAGGCCTATCAGTACAAGGTCATGAATGTTTATAACTTCATTTTATTGTATGAATGTTTTGGATGTAATAAATTTAGTGTCTTTTCTGCACGAACTTGTCTCATGAAGTCAACAAGCGGCGTGCTATGAGGGCAATTTTGCTCTGAACGGTGCGTTACAATAAACTATGAGGAGTAGTATAGAATGTGCTGTGCTTGTGCGTCTATGTTGAGTTACTTTTCAACTTCTCCTTAGTGTATTATTTTATGTTTAGGTATACCTCTAAAACCTATGTTAGCCCATCCTACCAAAGGTGTGACTGAAGTATTACGAAGATTTGAAAACATGGAGTTTACATGTGAATATAAATACGATGGAGAAAGAGCGCAGGTGATTATAATTCATTTATACCACATTTTTTTTTAGATCAAACACATACGTACAAAGATTACACATATACGTACAAAAGGCGCAGGCTGAATTCGTCGAGGAAAAATATAAATCTTAATGTTTAGATGCTTAGATAAATCAGTCTACTAAATCAATGTCTCAAAAAGCTCTAGCTTGTTGGTGTCTTTTATGAATCAATGATAAGCTTTTAAAGGAGCTAAATCACTATTCTTTAGCACCAAGAAATGGACACAAATGAGTCTCGGCGTATATAGTTATGTAATATGAATGTATATCAACGGATTTACATAAATCATTTTTGTTTTTGCTGTAATTTCTAATCAGTTATGTTCGGCAAAATACACGAAGATTTCCAATTGAATAACAGCCTTTGGCATCTGGTTATTCCAGTCTGTACCAGTAATATTCTTCTGTGGGGTATGGTTAGCCTTGTTTATCGAGTCGCTTCATTACAAATGGCACTAGAAAGCATTCCGGCAATCGATTTGTGTGCCAATTTTAAAATGTTCATTTTGTGTTAGTTATTGGATAAGATAACAACATAAATGTTGATTTAAATTTGCCAATAAGTCGTGTTTGCAATGCCAAAGGCTGTGATTCATATTGAGTTAGAGACTTGCCTCCTTTAATGTTTAAATTACATGAAGCTTTTGTTATTCATCTTTTTTTCCAACCTCGTGGGTTTTCTCCGGGTCCTCCGGTTTCCTCCCACTGCTAAAGACCCCTACACGCAAGCGAAGTATTGAAATAGAATTGAACCATATTAATCCTGAATTGACCGAGTTGACATTAAACCCTCTCTCTCTCCCTCTCTCTCTCTCTCCCTTTAATGTTTCAGTGTACTTGTGCTCAATTGTAAGTTGAATATTTTATTCATTAATATTTTTTGTCTCTTTCAGATCCATGTATTAGAGAATGGAGATATCTGTATATATAGTAGAAATTCTGAAAATAATACCAGTAAATATCCTGATATAATCAGTAGAATGCCGAAAATACTCAACGATGATGTTAAATCTTGTGTTATAGACTCAGAAGCTGTCGCCTGGGATGCTGTCGAAAAACAAATTCAACCTTTCCAGGTTCTGAGTCACAGAAAAAGAAAGGTAGTTTTAGTTATTAAAACTAGTATGGTAAACAGATCTCATTTTTGCAGATTCGGGTAAACTGGTCCGGGTTAATATTTAAATTCACTTCATCCATAAATTAAAGAGGTACTTAGTTTCTCATCATGTGATAAAAATAGTGTCAATCGAATGAAAAGGAGAAGTTCGGAGTACCTGTGCCGACTACATAAAAAATATCTCGACCAATCAGGACAGCTGAAACATATTTGTTACTTAAAATACTTCACAATTCTACTCACACCACGTCAGCTGTTGGGATTGTCAGAACTGTGACATGGTTGAATTCTGTATCTCTTGATTGCAATTCTGTCAATTCGAGCACCCCCATAGATCTTCTTCAGTCTGTGGTCAAAAGGGAGATAATATGACTTTAGGGTACTATGACGTGAGTTATCCCCCTTTAGTCTTAAAGAACCATTTTTAGTGTAAATTTAAAACATGTTAAATAATTATTTTTGTTTTGTTTTGTTAAAGGATGCTGATATAGCAAATATTAAAGTACAGGTCTGTGTTTATGCCTTTGATTTGCTGTATTTAAATGGTGAATCATTAGTTCAACAGCCCTTTAGAAAGAGGAGAGAACTCTTACGTTCATCTTTTAAAGAAACGGAGGGGGAGTTTGTTTTTGCCACTTCCATGATTGCATCTAATACTGAAGCTATTGAGGAATTTTTAGATCTATCGATTAAAGGTAATAAATTAAATAGAATCATAAAGAATATCTCAAATCATTATAAGTGTGGAATAATGTTTTAATTTGACAACTGGGGGGTTGGATGGCCGAATGGTTAGCATGTGTGCGCTGTATCATAAAGTCTGTCATTGAGTCAACTGTTGTGGTTTTGATTCCTCGGTTGTTTTTGTCAAGGAGTAGGATCGCCCATCCAACCACGTGGGTTTTCTCCGGGTTCTCTGGTTTCCTCCCATTGCTAAAGACCCCTACGCGCAAGAGAATTATTAACATAAAATTGAACCATGTGTTAGTCCCGAAATGACCTAGTTTGTGTCAAGTGGAGGTTAAACCTCTCTCTCTCTCTCTCTCTCTGCCAAAGATCCCTTGGCAGTCAGAATTAGATATAAAAACAGGCTGTAGTGTCACTGTGTGGGTAAAAGTTCCCTCATAGCACACTGTATGGCATATGACCGTCTTCATTCGCCCAGTTGAAGCAGAACATTAAACTTGACCTCATTAAACAACTAGACGTCTGTCCTTGTTAGTCCCTCCATCCTGCACTTCTGACACAGGGAAACCACGCCAGAAAATCTCAATGACTTTTTCAGCCGACACTGCAAACAAACCTGTGATCTCCAGACTAGCAAGCTAGCCACCGTGGCTCCTCTTCAGACTTGATATTATTGGTATCTTGCATATGATACTGATGAAATGATCCCTTACTTTAATTACAGGTTTAAATTAATACTGTGCAATATTTGAATTGTAAACCTTTTCAGGAAATTGTGAGGGTTTAATGGTTAAAACATTAGATGTTGATGCTACGTATGAAATAGCTAAACGATCTCACAATTGGTTAAAAGTAAAGAAAGATTATTTAGAAGGTGTGGGTGATACATTAGATGTAGTTGTTATAGGAGGTTATAAAGGTACTGGTAAAAGAACCGGCTGGTATGGAGGATTTCTTCTGGCTATTTATGATCCAGATAATGAAGAATTTCAGAGTATTTGTAAGGTAAATCTCTTTGTTCATATTGTGGGTCTAAGGCCGCAAATGGAAAGATTGGAAAATCGTATTCTAAAAAAGGGAAGAAGCCTCGGCTCTCCTATGTCTAGTCTGCGATATCACTTCTGTGGAAGCCGACGTGAAAGCACCAGGTAGTAGTAGTAGTGTTCATATTGTGACAACCTATCAGTCTGTTTGTTGGAGGGGGGGGGCATGAATGGCGTAACGCACGGTTTATTCCCTATGGGTACGTTACGTGACAAGGAGTAGGGTCACCTGTCCAACCTCATGGGTTTTCTCTAGAACCTCATTTCCTTTAACTGCAAAAGACACCTATATGCAAGCGAATTATTGAAATAAAACTGAAGCATGTATTAGTCCTGAAATGACCTAATGACCAAGATATTTCCAGTGCGTGTATGTATAGTAAGTGAAAGTGAATCGGACCACACACTAACAAATGAAATGGGGTTTAATGTCCTACTGCTCTACTCCGACTGGGCTAATGAAGTTGGGCATACGCCATGCAGTATGCTATGAGGGAATTTTGCCCAGGCAGCAGCACCATGACCTGCTCTTATATCGAATTGCAACTGCCAAGGGATCTATCATGTGCACGCCAATGTATTCACAGGACCTCAGTTTTTGTCCCATCCAAATGACTAGATATGTCCCTGTCAGGACCTCCGTCCTGCACCACTGACATGGGGAAACCACATCGGAAAATACTGATGAACATGCACGAACAAAGCTGTGGACAAGACACACAATACATGTACATGGTATCATGTATGCTTTACACCTGTCTGGAAATAGGGCACCTGTCAAAGACTTTGTGACGCAAATTATATCATATACATATACTAGCCTGGACATTAGGCACCTGTTACAGACTTTGTGACGCAAATTATCACATAATGTATATATAATTATAAAACGTGTCTGACAATGTAAGGTCTGTGACAGGTGCTCTATGTCCAAGTGTGATAATTTGTGCCTGAAAGTGTCTGTGACAGGTGCCTTATGTTCAGGCTTGTTGGGTGATAATTTGTATCTGACAACTTCTATTACAGGTGCCTTATTTTAAGGCTTGTATATGTGATAATTCGGAATACTGTAATTAATGGAATTTTGTATGTTCTGATGAGCTTGTATAAAATAAGGAATTAATGTTTCATGAAAGTGGTCAATATACACAACAAAAATATGAAATTAAGGTGAAATTTGTTTTTCTATTATATTACAGATAGGTACAGGGTTAAAGGACGAAGATCTAGAAACACATACTAAGTATTTTAAAGAACAGGTTATAGAACAACCTAAACCATATTATAGGTGGGATAACTCTCATGAACCAGATGAATGGTTTGAAGCTAGTCAAGTGTGGGAGATTAAAGCAGCTGATTTATCTATATCACCAACACACAGAGCTGCTGCTGGCATGGTATATTTTATACTATTGTTTTACACAGGTTACATGTAATGAAATGAAATCGGGTTTAACATCCTACTGTTTTGCTCCGACTGGGCTAATGAAGATGGACATACGCCGTGCTGTGAGGGTAATTTCAACTGCCAAGGGATCTTTTACGTGCATGTCAGTGTGTACACGGGACCTTTGTTTTCCATCACTTCAGAACGAACAGACAGCTGTTCTTGTCAGGCCCTCTGTCCTGCACCACTGACAGGGGAAACCATGTCAGAACACACAATCTCCAGACAAGCGAGTCAGATTTTCTGGCGTAGTTTCCCCTTGTCAGTAGTGCAGGACAGATGGCCTGATAAGGACAGTTGTCTTGTTGTTCAGATGTGATGGAAAACCAAGTACCTGTGTACATATTGGCGTGCATGTAAAAGATCCCTTGGCAGTTGGAATTCGATACATGTGTAGGTCATAGAGCCGCTACCCGGGCAAAATTTCCCTCATTGCACACTGTATGGCACATGCCCGTCTTCATTAGCCCGATCGGAGTAGGACATTAAACCCCATTTGGCTTGGGGTAGCAAAAGACTTCCGATATTTGTTGTTCCTATAAATTAAAAGTAATAATTTACAAATCGTAAATCTGTAGAAATTAATAATGTATATCTTTTATACAGGTGGATCCAGAAAAAGGTATATCTCTACGTTTTCCTAGATTCTTAAGAATTCGAGATGATAAAAAACCAGAAGATGCCACCTCGGCATCACAGGTAAGATATTTCTTTTGTTTTTCAATGGGGGATCACGTGACTAAGTGGGTAAGACCCTGGCTCGCTAGCCTGGAGGTCGGGTGTTCGATCCCTGCATTGGCCGAGAAAGTTCATCCAGATTTCCGGCGTGGTTTCCCCTTGTCAGTGATGCAGGACGAAGGGCCTGACAAGGACAGCTGTCTAATCGTGTACACATTGGCGTGCATGTAAAAGATCCCTTGGAATTTGATATAAGAGTAGGCCGTAGCGCCACTGCCCGGGCAAAATTTCCCTCATAGCACACTGTATGGCGGATGCCCGTCTTCATTAGCCCAGTTTAGGAGCAGAACAGTAGGATGTTAAACCCCATTTCATTTCATTTGTTTTTCAATGATCTGGTTTCTCTGATGGTACCTGGGGGTTGAATGGTTAGCGTGTGTGCGTGTGGTATCATAAGGTCTGTCATTTGTCAACTGGTGTGGTTTCAATTCCCCAGTTGTACGTGACAAGGAGTTCGGTCGCCTGTCCAACCTCGTGGGTTTTCTCCATGTCCTCAGGTTTCCTCCCACTGCTAAAGACCCCTACGCACAAGCGAATTATTGAAATAAAAATTGAACCATATGTTAGTCCAGAAATGACCTAGTTTGTGTTGAGTAGACTTAAACCCCATCTCTCTCTCTCTCTCTCTCCCTAAATGATCTAGTTTGTGTGAGTGCACGTTAATCCCTCTCTCTCTCTCTCTCTCTCTCTCTCTCTCTCTGATGGAACCCCAGGTGGTTCTGTGAAGATGGAAACCCCATCTCTCTCTCTCTCTCTCTCTCTCTAAATGATCTAGTTTGTGTCGAGTGCACGTTAATCCCTCTCTCTCTCTCTCTCTCTGTCTCTCTCTGATGGAACCCCAGGTGGTTCTGTGAAGATGGAGTTGGCTCAATAATCAGGAGGATTCTGGTTCCGAGTTCATAAAACATTCTCAGACTTAAGAATTTACTCAAAATTGTTTGGCACATTTTAACAAAAATATAGCCCTTTATAAAACTTTTGTTGTTTTAATGTATCATTAATAGTTTACTAGGTAGAATTATTGATCATTGCTTGATATAGATACCTGTAAGAGTATTTAATAAACTAAGAAGTAGTAAATCCATAAAGTTGTGTTATTATGAATATTATACCTCTACTTCTAAATGTCTTTCAAGGATATTGTTGATAATTGTTTATTTTCTAGGTAGCTGATATGTATCGGAACCAGGATCAAATTCAGAACCAACAGAAATCAGCTAAAACCAATGATGAAGAAGAATTTTATTAATATTTGTCTGTTTTTTTTCTATGGATTGTTTAGTTGTTTTTGTTAAAGAATTATGAAATTGTTTATCACTTATAATAAAATTTGTATATATACTTTTCATACATTGTAATTAAATAATAAAAAAATCAGAGTTCATTAAGTCTTAGACCGAATGGTTAGCGCATGCTCATTGTATCATATGGTCTGCCATTGAGTCAGCTGGCATGGTTTTAATTCCCTGATTGTACATGACAAGGGGTAGGGTCGCCTGTCCATCCTCATGGGTTTTTTCTGGGTCCTCGGTTGGTTTCCTCCCACTGATAAAGACCACTACGTGCAAGCAAATTATTGAAATAAAATTGAACCATATGTTAGTCCCAAAATGAACTAGGTTGTATCGAGTGGACGTTAAACCGCATTTTTCTCTCTCTATAATATTTTTGATGTAGGTACTTGAATTATTTTGTATGATTGTTAATGTTTGTATTTCTCTAATATTTACAAAGGAGAATATTTGTTAGTAGTAGCAGATAAAATTGAACTTCTAAATACCTAGGGGGGTTGGATGGCTGAATGGTTCGCGTGCGCGCGCTGTATCATAAAGTCTGTCATTGAGTCAACTGGCGTGGTTTCGAATCCCCGGTTGTACGTGACAATTTTGCCCGGGCAGTGGCACTATCGCCTACTCTTATATCGAATTCCAACTGCAAGGGATCTTTTACGTGCATTCCACGGCCAATGCAGGGATCGACCTCCCGGCTAGCAAGCCAGCGTCTTAACCACCTAGCCACCGTGGCAACCTGTTTGTTAAAAGTATACATATATAAAATTGAACTTCTAAATTCCTGTTGGGGAAATGTTTGTTGATTGATACTAGACAGATATGAAATTAGACATCTAAAATTTGTAAATAGCAATCAGTATAGATTTAGTCACATGGAATTATGATTTATAAACATCTGTAATTTATAAATATGATGTACATACTAGATTTTCTCCATTTGTAAGACCCATATTTTAGTTATAAATTGGAATAAAATATTTGTACACATAATTTGTCTTTTGTGCAATATGTCTGGGCAGCAGATTTCTGACTGGTGATGAGTTAATGTAGGACAAATGTCAACTTAGAGGTTTGAAATATCTCAGCAAAAACAAACCAGCATATAGGAGGCAGACTACCTTTAAATTGTAGTTCGTCTATTTATAGCAATTACCTTTCTCTCTGTCTTTTTTCTAACCTTTTGTGTGCCCATTTTTGTTGAATTTTTGGTCTAGAATGGGCGAAGATGGTTTGAATTAACATTTTCTGTCAGGTTTTGGTAAATATTCATGATGTGAGGCGGAAGGATAACAGAGGTTGGTTACGGTGATATGTACGGCAAATAGATACATGTTTTTAGTATGCTTCTTCAAGTTTATGTATATCAAAATTTTAGTGGTCAACCTCATACAAATTTTCATGCAAAGACATGACCATTTGTTCCTCTGTAGTGAAAAGCATTCAACCAACGAAAAGTTGGCGGTGGTCAAAGAGGCCAGAATTAACATTGAAATTAATGGTGGTCTGCCTCCTGTAGTTAATTGACATAACAGTAGTTGTCTCCCATGGTGTACAGAACAGCAACAGAATTCGAAGCAAATAGCCATGGGTCCCGCTTTCCATGTAATCGTATTTACCAACGTGAAATCGCCAGCGTTTCGGCGCGCGAAATTTTGTATTTACAAGTGAACTGATAATCGCCGAAAGAATTTCGGAATCCCACGTAAATGACGTCATAGATCAGTCTTGATGCGTAGCATTGGCCGCGATTTGTTTATATTAAGTCGAATGTTAAGTTCTATGAAGATGCACCTTGCTGATCGTACGGCAACAAGAGATTAAATAGAACCAATGTTCCTGAAAATTACACTATTCGTCACCATCGTTTGTATGAAAGTGCCAATCCATACTACAAGTGAATAAAAACGCCGCCAAAAAGTCCGTCTTCATTCGCCCAGTTCGGAGCAGAACAGTAAGACGTTAACACCCCCCCCCCCCTCTCACCCATTTCTATTTATTTCATTTCCGCCAAAAAGTCGCTCATATAGCAACTATTTTTCTCTGCGCGAGCAAACACTTACATGGATATAGTCCCATTATATTTGATTTAGACCGCCTTCATCGACTGCAACAGGTGCATGGAATACTGCTGATAGCTAGGGATAGAACTGTAAACAATTCTTATTCCGTGAGGGGATCACGTGGCTAAGTGGGTAAGACGCTGGCTCGCTAGCCTGGAGGTCGGGTGTTCGATCACTGCATTGGCCGAGAAAGTTCATCCAGATTTTCCGGCGTGGTTTCCCCTTGTCAGCGATGCAGGACAGAGGGCCTGACAAGGACAGCTGTCTAGTCGTTCGGATAAGACGAAAAACCGAGGTCCCGTGTACACATTGGCGTGCACGTAAAAGATCCCTTGGCAGTTGGAATTCGATATAAGAGTAGGCCGTAGCGCCGCTGCCCGGGCAAAATTTCTCTCATATCACACTGTATGGCTTATGCCCGTCTTCATTAGCCCAGTTTAGGAGCAGAACAGTAGGACGTTAAACCCCATTTCATTTCTTATTCCGTGCGCTTCGACCCCAGGATCCGCTGGAGAGCTTACAGCGCTCCCTAGAACCCCAGTTGTTTTACTCGCGACCTTCTACAGTCGTTTGGGGTTGTGCATTGTAAAAAGCTGACAACGTTCGCGTCTAGTGCTGGCTCGATGGTTAGGGGCCGTACTATTTATTTATTTATTTTTGAGGGGGTGGTGGGTCTAATATAACAGCGAAGGATACCAAATATAAAAAAATATAGCATGCTATAAAGGGAATTTCGATCAACTGACGACTCGATGTGATTAACACAAATTCTATTTCGTTTCTTTGTTGTTTAAAATTCATTTAGGGGGATCACGTGGCTAAGTGGGTAAGACGCTAGATCGCTAGTCTGGAGGTCGGGTGTTCGATCCCTGCATTGGCCGAGAAAGTTCATCCAGATTTTCCGGCGTGGTTCTCCCTTGTCAGTGATGCAGGACGGAGGGGCTGACAAGGAAAGCTGTCTAGTCGTTCGGATGGGACGAAAAACCGAGGTCCCGTGTACACATTGGCGTGCACGTAAAAGATCCCTTGGCAGTTGGAATTCGATATAAGAGTAGGCCGTAGTGCCTCTGTCCGGGCAAAATTTCCATCATAGCACACTATGGCGTATGCCCGTCTTCATTAGCCCAGGTTAGGAGCAGAACAGTAGGACGTTAAACTCCATTTCATTTCATTTCATTTACATTCATTAGTGTAGGCCATTGTAAGTATAAAAAAAACGAAACGAAACGAAATATAGATCTATATTTTAATCAGATTGACTGACGGCTGTTTCACCAGTACCAAATCCCAGGTGTTATTTACAATAAAAGTAGATGAGATTTATTCTAGAAATCCATACACCGTTGACGTCAATACATTTAGGTATATTAATTTCTTAATAAGAAATCGGTAATAAAAAATCGTAGTTGAAGAAAAAAACAAAACAACCGAGAGATCGGTCGTTATAATATCTTAATAAATCGGTAATAAAAAATTGCAGATGAAGAAAAAAAAAACAACCGCGAAATTGTTTGTTATAAAGAGTCGTTTTTTGTTCTCTATATGCCACAGACGCCAATTAAAAGTAACAATTATTTCAAATATGACGTCAATTAGAATTATGGTTAAAAATACATGGAATATTAAAGAGTGTTCATGATTATCGTTTTATATTTTGTGCTATTCGGGGGTGGGTGGATGTCGAATGGTTAGCTCGTGCGCGTTGTACCATAAGGTTTGTCATTGAGTCAACTGGTGTGGTTTCGATTCCCCGCGCGGTCGTATGTGACAAGGAGTAGGGTCGCCTGTCCAACCTCGTCCGTTTTTCCCGGGTCATCCGGTTTCCTCCCACTGCTAAAGACCCCTACACGCAAGCGAATTATTGAAATAAAACTGAACCATATGTTAGTTTCTAAATTATCTAGTTTGTGTCGAGTGTACGTTAATCTCTCTGTCTCTCTCCCCCCTCTCTCTCGCTCCCTAAATGATCTAGTTTGTGTCGAGTGCACGTTAATCTCTCTCTCTCTCTCTCTCTCCCTAAATGATCTAGTTTGTGTCGAGTGCACGTTAATCTCTCTCTCTCTCTCTCTCTCTCTCTCTCTCTCCAGTAAATAGTTTATCTATCACTACCTTGGAATTTTAGTGTGTTTAAGTCGTGTTTGTGTGGCTGTCAAGAATTTGAAGGAAAGGTATATTTTTATTATTAATTTCTCTAATCGCCAATACTCTCTGGTTTCGATTTCTATCTGTGACCTTCACCATGTAGCCTAGGTCAGTAGTCGTGACTAAAGAACTTGAAAACAACCATCTGAAAGACAGTTGTAAACAAGTTAATTGACTTCATGATTGTTTTACATCTTCAGTTAGTCCATCTACAGAAAGTAGGTCTGAAATGAAATGAAATGAAATGGGGTTTAACGTCCTACTCTTCTGCACCTAACCTGGGCTAATGGAAGACGGGCATACGCCATACAGTGTGCTATGAGGGAAATTTTTGCCCGGGCAGCGGCGCTACGGCATACTCTTATATCGAATTCCAACTGCCAAGGGATCTTTTACGTGCACGCCAATGTGTACACGGGACCTCGGTTTTTCGTCCCATCCGAACGACTAGGCAGCTGTCCTTGCCAGGCCCTCCGTTCTGCATCACTGACAAGGTGAAGAAAGTAGGTCTGAGCCCTGTTTCACGAAATTTTAACTAAAGATAAAATCCAAATTTTAGTAGATACAATGAAATTACTAAAATTTGGATTTTATCTTAGTTAAAATTCTGTGAAACAGGCCCCTGATCAAAATATCCTCGTTCCCAAGGCAGCGGCTAAGATAGAAATATGAAATATGTGTGGAGAGATTTTTGGAGCTGTAACCAGAATGTTTTTAAAATAAAATTGATTAATATACATAGAAAGAGTTGATAGAAAGATATTTTGCCGGCGCTTTAAGTTAAAATGAGTCAACTGGCGTGGTTTCGAATCCCCGGTTGTACGTGACAAGGAGTAGGGTCGCCTGTCCAACCCCGTGGGTTTTCTCCGGGTCCTCCGGTTTCCTCCTACTGCTAAAGACCCCTGCGCGCAAGCGAATTATTGAAATAAAATTAAAACCATATGTTAGTCCCTAAAGGACCTAGTTTGTGTCGAGTGGACGTTAAACCCTTTTTGTTGTGGTAACTTTGTGTATGAAAATGTCCCATGCTGTGTTCCTGTGTCCTGATTTGACTTTGATTTCCTCGGTTCTTCGTGCATGGGAATCAAATGAAAAGCACCAATTAACTATCTTTAGGCCACATATGAATAGTTCTTTAATAAAAAACGATGTTTTGGAGGTTTCCCAAGGGAGAACGTCTATTCTTTTATTTCTAGATTGTAAACAACCCCAGCTGATGTAGTTGGCTTGTTGTTTTCATTATATACATGCCATTCTACATACCATATCGATCCGTCTGTTTGATAAACAATCCTATATCAATGTATTACCAATTTAAAAATATCACAGCTGGTACTATTCCGTACGATATATTCATACTTTTAATCACCATGTCAAAACACCCAAATATATAATAAAACATTTATATGGTGGCCCATGGTGGACTCGTCAGAATTGCGCTTCATTAATGTTTTGACAGCCAAAAGTCAAACATGATTATTCGTATATGTAATCGTCGGCATAGGCGTACGAGCTGGGGGGGGGGGGGGGGCTGGGGGCGGCCGCCCCATTTTGGGCACCAAATGCTGGGAAAATTTGGGCACACAATTGTACTTGGTAAAAGTTGTATAAATAAAATATTGTGTTCTTGAGTGTGTCCAATTTAACAGCGAATTTATTATCATTATGTAACATACTTAGAACCTAACTACACTTTTTGGGCACCAACCACCACCGCCCCCTCCCCCCCTGTCAAAAATTTCCCCGGTATTCGTAACCATAGAAAACTTAGCAAAATT